GGTATTCATTCTAAATAATGTAGGTTTTATGTTTGATTAGCAGATGCTTGCAAGAATAAGAGTAAACTTTGAAAAAAAATTGTATTTGTTCAGTCTGTAAATAATATTCTAAATACTTGCAGTCAACAGCAGCTTTAGCTTATTATTAATTTGTAGCCTTTATAGAGCATGTTCAATTTTTTAATCTTAAAGCACTTTTATAAATTTTTTTTTTTTTAAGCTGTGGGTTAGGACCTAACAGTGTCTTAAAGGATGTCTTAGTGACTCACACAGTACTTAACTAGGGAAAAAAATAACCAGGTGAGATGCAGATTTTTCTTGTATCTTTTTACCTCTGAGGCACTCAGGATCACGGTTCACAGGACAATCTTTTGTTCTAATAAATGAAATTTGTGTGCTCTCTGGAGAGATCTAATTATTAACCGTGGCCATCACCGAAACCCAGTCTGCCTTATGAATTATACCTGGATTGTGCTGTGTACAAAATCCACGAGTTTCATTAGCATGCAGCCTTCAATGCTGATTAACCCAGGGAAAAGACAAACCGTGAATTTCTTGTGGGTAACACGCGAAGCACAAGAGGCGGAGGGAGGGGAAGCGTGATGCCACGCTGCCACCTACTGTCACCCGGCGGACTGCGGGGAGCCCTTTCATCCCTGAAATAAATATTGGACAGGAGGGCCAAGAGAACATCAGCGAGGGACCCCGAGAGCCACAGGTGTTAGCTGGTTCAGGGATTCCAAAGGCGGCCTCGGGGCTTCCTCCTTCCCCGGGCCCTTTGCAGGCTGCGGCCAGGGCAGGAGCGCGGTGAGACATTCCCGTGTCAGCGGCTCAGCGCCGCAGTGGCTCTCCCAGGGTGTTCCTCTGCATCCCAAACACTTACAGCCAGCGCTTACAGTAAGCACTAACAAATAGGAGCTCTTTTATGATCTTTGTGTAATAACGTAGTACACAAAATTTTTAAAAATCACAGTGTGGTTTACCTGTAGTGAATGTGGCAGGTAGGAATAAAGAGTCCTTAAGCAGCGCAGAGCTGGATCATTATCTGCAGAGTACAGAAAGGGCCTTGACAAAAGGCACGGTGTGACTGTCGAGTACAAATTCGTCCTTGCCCGCACTCGATTCACACAGCCAAGTCCAGACTCTCCCTCTGCAATGCTTAGGAAGTTTCCACACACTGGCAATACATGTAAGCAATACAGGACTCCCAAGCTGCTGGAGGCCACCTATTCCCACGTTCTCAGGCACATGAAGTCCTCCAAGGAGCTTTCTTTTCACTTGTCATTTGCTGTAAAAACTGATAACATTTATCAACAGCAATGAAATACAAAAGCTCTAAAAAGTACACATTCTCTGCTGCCATGAATAATCTAACAAATTGGCTGAGCTCTATGGGAAACCTCGGTGTGTTTGCTTAGGCTCACTTGAAGTGCAAATAGTCACAAGTATTCGTGACAGAGGGTTTTATTTTTTATGAAACAAATAGGCTGAAATGCATAATATTGCACTCAGTCTGAAGAAAAATGTATTCTGCTAGCATTGGGTTGACAGATTTTTGCATATACCCTAATCCCTGTTTAAATTAAAACTTTGGAACTTTGGGTACAAAAAGGGAATTATTACAGTAAAATAAGCTGAAATTTTTTTTTGAGTTTTTTTTGGGTTTTTTTGTTTTTTTTTTTTTTTTTGGTGAGGTTTTTATATCATTTTACTGGTTTCCCACATTTAAGGCTATGAATAAGTTTCTAATGAAAAACTCTCAGTGTTGTTTCTGAGATGGTGATGGGGTTCTTTACAAACCTTTTGAACTGAAGAGACTGAACTTCACCATGGGACATGGTGGTTCGTAAGAGGACATGTTCTTCAGCTCAATAAATTGAAGGAGTGGCAGCTTTGTAATAATTCTCCAGATTGTATGCCTGGAACAAATTAAAGAAGCAAGGAACAAATTAAAAGAAAAGGCAAACACGACTGTCACATCAGAACCATCTCCCATTACCTCGGACCTTTCCAATTACCAGTATCTCCAAAAGCAGTTATTTTATTTCTGAACTGTAAATCCAGCAAAAAATATTTTGTGAATTAAATCTGAATTTTGAAAAGGTAATGTCTGAGAAAGTTTCATTTGAAAATATAGTATTTACAAGATGTACAATTTATATATATTGCAGCCATAAAATGCACACAGTGCCTCTTAAGTATGATTTACAATAGAAATGTATGCATGCCTCTCATTTAAATGTTTTGTATAGTTTTTTACTGGATTTTAAAATTTCTGTATAAGAAAACATAAAATGTAAAAATACGAATGTTTTTATGTTGTGCTCATATAGGCACTACCTTTATCGAGATTTTTCTGAAAGGACATTCAATGCTGGTAGGATTCGTGTGCATATGTAACCAGTTACGCATATCTGCTGGTGTTTTGAAACCTGGAAATTTCAAATTTTCTTCCAGCATCAACAAGAATTAAACTAACCTAAGAGCATGAACTTTTTTTTTTTAGTACTGTAACAGAACAGTGTTAATTTAGAAGATGTTTCTGCATGTGTTATTTTCATTTGCTGTATAGAAGACAAAGCTTACTGAGGTGACAGCTTGCTTATGATACTGTAGTATTCAAGATAACAAGAAGGGACCTGACTGAAAAACTACAGGACATTATGGAATTGAGTGATGGGCAAATAGAGCAATGAAATTCAATGCAGATAAGCATCAAAGAATATGCATAAGAAAAAATATGTTAACTTCACATGTTGAATGACAAACTTTGAACTGGCCATCACTCAAGAATAAGATCTCAGAGCCGTGGCAGATTTTTCCACAGAAATGCCAGCCCAGTGTTCAGCAATGGCAATCAATTGCCAGACAGTTCACAAAAGAGCAGGAAGATGGAAAAGCTTTCATGTCAGGGATAGCTACATAGTCCTGGGAAAGACAACTGGAGAGCATTCTATGTAACAGTGGCCTAGATGAGGGCAGGTTGTTTGTTGTTCCTTCCAGTACAGGGACTCGGGACATCAAGTGACAATATCGGAATCAGGTTCAAAGAAAATAAAAAGGAATAAAAAGACGGTGTTCTTCAGACCAAAGGTTATTTGAGCTCTAGAGGTAATTGCCAAAGGATATTGTGCACAATGAAAATTTAAATGGGTCAATGAGACACTGAACAAGAGAGATCAGCTTTATTTCCTTATCCTTGTTTAAAGATTTCCTAATGAATCTTTTTTTATGTTTTGCCTTTCTTGCTTTCATTGGACCGTGACATTCTACTTAAAACATTCTCATAAGTGCCATAGAATTTATTTCCAAACAGGAGACGGACAGAATAGCAGGCTAAATAAATACTTCTCTCTGTAATTATCCTAATTTCTAATAGCTCCATCATATTGCTTGGGAAAAATGTTGATAGCTATTCTGCAAGACCTCGATTGTAAGGAATGTGTCCTAAACTCGACAAACTGTTTCTTCACAAGTCAGCAGAAGATACTATTATTATAAATAAAAGATAAATGTGGAAATATTTGCAAGAATATAATTGTCAAGTGGCTTCTAACAAATTTAAGAGCACTCCTTAGGCATAATTAATAAGAGCTGTAGTCTATATCGTGCCTAAAATTAGTGTTGTGTAGCAGTTATTGTGGCTGAACAATGCTAATTTTCTTCCCCGGTTTTGCAGGTTGTACCGTGTTTAGACAGGAGTGATGAGAATAAGCGGAGACGTGATTAAATCTGATCTGGCCCGACTCCTTTATGACTAAAACAAAAAAACCCAAAAGCCAGAAGCAAGCAAACCCCGCAGGCCAGCGCGCGCCCCCTCAGCGCCGGCCTCGGCGCGCGGGGCGGGGGGAGCGCGGCCCGCGATTGGCTCGGAGAGCGCCCCCGCCTCACGTGACCACCCGCGCGCTCCTTATAGCCGCCGCGAGAAGGTGGCTGTGTGTGAGCGCGTGCTGCGTGCGGAGCGGCCGCCGGTGAGCGGGGCCGGCGGGGGAAGGGAGGGGGGAAGCGCTCGGGAGAGGGGCGGGAAGGACGAGAAGACGCTGCTCTCCGTCTCGGCTGAGCCGCCGCCACCGGCGGCGGGTTGGGGCCGCGAGGTTCCGTGGCCGAGTTTGGGTGTTGGCGGGCTCCTGCCTCGCTATTCCCCATTGGCCGCGGCGGCGCGCGGGAAGGGAGGGGCCCTGCGAGCTCTGGCGGGAGCGAGGCCGCAGGGGTGGCCTGGGTGAGTGCCCGGTTCCTCGCAGCCATCCCTGTTGTGCGCCCGGGACACCTCCACCAGCCCTGCGAGCTCGCCTGGTGGGAGCAGGGCCGGGGGGTGGTGGGGATTAGTGCCCAGTTCCACCTCAGCCGTCCCGGGTGTGCGCCTGGGACACCCCCGCCAGGCTGCGGGAAGGCCGCTCCGCGCTGCGGCGGCGCTGGGCGCTGCCTTCCCGCCGCTCGTGTCTGGGGTGCAGCCTCGGGAGGGGCTCTCCAGGGGCCTACTGGCCACGCCGTGCATGGCTGACTGCTTAAGGCAGCCACGAAAGCTGATAATCCGAAATGGTCATGTTCTCCAACTAGTGTTGCCCGAACTTCAGGAGTCGAGGGATGCTGTATTAATTTTAGTGGTTTTTTCTATTGCAGTTGATCTCATGAATACCAAAATGAAACAGAAATTGACCACAGAAAAGTTCTCAGGATCTTTGGAGGTATGGGCTTTAAGGGCTTGAAGCTAGCACCTCTCTGTGTGACACAAGCTTCTCTGTCCACTGAAGGAATATAAAGGGATGTGTTGCAATGTGCTTCCACCTGGCTTATGTCCATTTGGCTTGAGTAACCTGTTGGCAGACATTGTGGCTTGGGAACATGCTGTCCTGCTTGGGTATATGTGCTTATGACTACTTTTTTTCCTATTGCTCAGCAAGTCCTTTTTACTTTGACACTGAGCTTACTGTTTCTCCGTTTAATTTTTCAGGGTTGGTTTGGTTTGTTTGTCAAAGACTGTGTGTCTTTGCTTACTGAATCTGTCTGGCTTATGCTTAGGGGTTGTAGGTTGGATTTTGTAGGCTGTTCTTTATGGGTGGGAATTTCTGAAGAGTTCCATCTGTCTTGTGTTGGACGTGTTTTTAACTGAAGTATTCAAGCAGGCAGTTCACTTTCTAAAGTCACCTTTGTGAATAATAGTTGCCTTGGAATTGGTGGAAATGCTTAAACGATTTAGGTTTTTAAGAGTTAACTGATTAGGTACAATCCTTAGTAACTTTTCTTGGTAAATCTTTTAATGTAGGCCCTAATCAGAATGATACAAAAGAGTATAAAATAGAGGCTAGTAGATTTTGTATGATGAGGCATAGTGACTGGAATGGAAGCTTCAGGTATTAATGAAAATTGCTAATTGATAGGTCTGACTTATGGCACTCTTGTCCGTCCCGTAGTGTCTCTAGGGTATGAATTGCTCGGTGTGGCTTTTTGCACTTTCAGTGGGTTAACTTGAGTATTGGCCAGTAATTTCTTGGCAGAGCATACTTAACTCTAATCCTAAGTAACAGCAAGCAGTGTCTGACACACGGTGTGATTCTTGTTCCCACAGCAGTTAATGTTTGTCCTTTAGTGGAACAGTAGGATAATTGGTGGCAGAAACTACCGTGGGAAATGCGAGCTCTTGTCCTGTGAAGTACGGTGTGAATCGGTGACTTTCTCACGCCCGTGTGGCATTGTATCCTGGCTGTTCTTGCTTGGTTGTCTGCCATTGTTTGCTATCCCATGGTGGCAGTGTAACCAACCCAATCAGAACGCTTTGATGCAGGAAAGAGGCATTTATGCATGATAGCAAGGGTGATAAACATACTGGTTAGACCAAACAATAGTCTGTCTGGATTGAAGCAAGGAATTTTTTGATCCATTTAATGAATAATGAAAGTAACACATCTGTTTAAATGAACACTGTTTGATGGGGTGTCCACAGGTCACAAAAACAGCTGCTGCCTGATGTGCCTTTACCACCTAACCTTGCAACTGCAGTCGCTTTTGTCCCTGTCCCTGAGGGTCTGAGACTGCTGTTCTCAAACTCCAGTTTGAGAGGTCCAGCTAAAGTCACTGGACTTGAAATCTAATCATAGTATTTCTGCTGAAGTTCTTTTATGAAAGGTAAATGTTTCCTAAGAGGCAGGGATTGATCATAGCTTCATGTGATTAAGATCGATCTCTGGTAGAAATAATTAAATCCCCTTCCTTACAAAAGCCTTAATATAGGCTATGGTGTCTTTTTTTTTTTTTTTTTTTGAGAAGATGAATTATGTGTTACCTTAATGGAAGCATGGTGGAGTCCTAATTTTCAGTTTATGTAAAGAAGAGTGGCTACTGTCTGACCCATTTTTGTCTTTTCAGAAGTACCTCACAGATAGCACATGCAGTGCTGCCCGAAGACCGACTCTTAAAATGATCCAGCCTTCAGCAGCTGGTAGCCTGGTTGGCAGACGTAATGAGGTATAAACTAAAAGTTAATCTGTAGATATGGAATTATTTCTGGTCATAGGGAAATGCTTCTGAGCTGTTAACTGAAAACTAATCTATTTGAAAAAAATATAATGTGCTAACTAGAGTGACACAAGCTTAGTATCATGAGGTATAAACTAAAAGATAATCTGTAGATATGGAATTATTTCTGGTCATAGGGAAATGCTTCTGAGCTGTTAACTGAAAACTAATATATTTGAAAAAATATAATTTGCTAACTAGAATGACACAAGCTTAGTATTGTTGTACTAATAAACAATATTAAAACCCAGCAATTTCTGAGTTCTTTGGGTATTAAGGAAGGTGTCTAAACTAAGAACTATAATGTGAAGAAATCAGGACTTAGAGACTTATTTGGAGTCATGAGTGTGCAGGCTTAGAAGTTTGTATTTTTGTGTAGGCTGAGATGTTCCTCTAAACTTAAACCTGCCCATGTTTTATGCAGAGGAAATCTTCAGTCAGAAGGAAACTCTGGAATAACAAATTTGCCTCAAAGGCTTGTAAAGCTGAGGTGTCTGTGGACAAAGAGCAAGAGAATGAGAATGATGTCATTCAAGCTGAAGATCTCATGATGAAAGGTATGTGGTAATTCCTGAAATGTTTTCTTGCACTTTAAATGCTATGCTGCTGTTGGAGTGCTACTTGAAACATATTTCCTTTGTCATTTAGACAAGGGCTTTGTGGGTTTTTCGTAATGTCTAGCAGGAGTTGATGATGCTTATCCTCTATATTAAATAAAGTACAGATGTCTAGTATTTAAGAAGGAGTTCATGACAACCAGAAGCTGAGAAGAATTGTGTGCAGCAGTGTTAAGGAGTCTTGTAGTTTGTTATTTTGGTTGGGCTGTAAGTTTTCCAGTGACTAATAATTAAGTTGAAATGAAAGCCTGTTTTGCCACAGCGTGTTGTGTACGCAGTTTCTCAGAACCATTATGCCCAGTGTGGACAGTGACTTGGAAGTAACACTTCTGTCTTCCACAAAGTGCGCATTCAGAGCAGCGTTGGCAAACGTGGCCGTTCTTGCAGAGCCTCCTGCCATCCTTGAGGCAGCTCCTGAAGGCGCTGTGCAGCCATTAATGCAGTGTAGGATCTGTTTCCTGTAAACTTGGGTCACTAATTGTAGTTCTACAATTAATCTTTGAAAATAGAATATGGAGTGAGTTTTTAGTATCACAGATAAAAGAATACTTGTATACAAGTTAGATATCTCAAGATGCTCTTAAGAAATCAGACTTATTGTAGCCTTGTTGTTGTTGTTCAGGAGATCCTTCGTCTCAGTATTGGAAAGAAGTGGCTGAAGAAAGGAGGAAGGCTCTGTATGAAGTGCTTCAAGAAAATGAAAAGGTAGCTAATCAAAGATGCCTAACTGTTACCTGGCTCTTGTCTTCCTCTTCTAACACGTTGTTATCTGAACTCAGTTGCACAAAGAAATCGAGCAGAAGGATGGTGAAATTGCCCGCCTAAAAGAAGAAAACGAAGAGCTCATGTCCCTTGCTGAGCATGTGCATTATATGACCAGCGTGATTGAGGTACTTAAAGCAATTTTCAGTTAATGTTGTAGAACAAAAAAGTGAGAAACCAGCCAAGGTATTTATAATGAACCATGACTTCTGTTATATGTGCTCACATGATTCTTCATTTTAAATTGCTCTGACCTGTTCCCTGCAGAATTGCTCTAATTCTAGAGCCATAAAGCTCCTTCTAGGATATGAATTTTTCCCATCTTAGAACCTATAGGAGTAGTGAGAGTACTAAGATGGATGTTTTCAGAAGGAGAGATTCAACCTACTCTCTTAACAGAATTAGGATTTGCATGTTGGAGATTGCGATAAGGGAAGAGTTGATTTTTCACTTTTTTGGGATGACTTAAATTCATGTCCTTAATAGGTTGGTAGTACTGGCTGTGTCCTTTGAGAAACTAAGCTTGAAACAGTCACAAAGTAGAATGGTGAGAGGGAGCCCTATGCTCTCTAAGGTCAAGGTTTCCTTGTCAAGGCACAGTGCCAGTTTCACTGCCCAAAAAGGGCTGCGTGCAGTCTCTGGGGTTCATAAACTCATAAATTTCCCAACAGCTCCCTCTGAGAATTCCTTGGGGCAAGTAGTTGTGTCACGAATTCCATGGCTCCTTTAGGAGGAGTGGATTGTTTGTAAGAGCCTCTGAAGCTGTGATAAATACATAGATAGGTATGGAACCTTGATGTTGTGGCTTTCAGGTTGTTTTTGCAGAGATTAAGCTCTCATTAAGCTGGGATATGAAGCTGGGTGCCTGGCAAATACTTTGAGTCTGTAATGACTAGACTGGGAAGTGGAAACAAAACAAAATGTTATTGCAAGTAACTTGTTTAATCAAGAATTGGACTTCATCAAGAATTAGACTAAGACAAGTTAGTTTCAGTTAGTGCAGTTTAGTTCAGCCATGAAAGACTGTGTTGCTACACTTGAATTGTTTTGGTACGTGGGGGGTACTGCTTGTTAGTGATATGTCCACGGGCAGAAATTACATTGTTTGAGGACTTGAGCTAATGTACTTGGAAACTTCTCTACAGCTTCTCAAAAGTTATGATCACTTATTAGTTGTAAGCTACTCCCTCCTGAGGCTTAAATGAGCCTTAAAGGATACATCAAACAACCAGAAGCTTCAAAACCAGCCTCTTTACAGTCCTGTTTGTCTTCCTTAGATCAGGTTAGGTGAGGAACTTCTAGATTGATCAAGTGCTAGAGACTGCTGGTCTTAAAGCTCATCTCAGCTTAATGTAGCTTCATCATCTCTAACTAAAAATGGAATAAATTGGTTGAAATTTTGTTTTTTTTCTAAAATTAAATTTGTAGGGTACTGTAGTAAATACTTAACTTGGGAACCAGTTCCCCGTGGTTTAGGTTGCCTGAGATGAAACCTGTCCTACTGAAGAACCTGAGAAAAACTGAACAAAGCAAATGTGGTTTGCAAGTTAAGAGGTAGTAATTTGAGTTGAACTTGTATATTAAGATTTTTTGTAACTGAGGAATGTTTTCATTATTTCAACGACCTCCAAATTAAGATGATTAGTTTGCTTAATTTAATATGCAGAGTCTTATTTCACTATTTCATAGTTAAGTAGAAAAAATGTTAAATTAACTGTGTTCCCTTCCTTTGTAGAGGCTAACTGGGCAAGCACCTGACAATCTTGAGACACTGGAGAGTCTGGCTCTAGAGGAATCCAGACAGGAAAATGAAGAGCATGACTGTGGAGACAAGGCAGACAGTCCTTCTGAAGAGGAGCCATCGCAAGTATTGTCTGGTTTAAGGGAGAATAGATCAGATCTTCCTTCAAAGGAAGCAAGCCATTTGCAACTGGAATGACAACCTTTAAATAGGCTTATGTATGTGGCTTTTAATTGCAGACTTCCTCTTGAAAGGATATATTAAACCTCAGGTATAGAAACTCTTGTGGGAACATTACAGATGTTGGCATTTTTAACTGGAATTATGTAGCAGTGGGAGGGGTATCTGAATACTGCATGGAAAATTTACTACAGGCTGCATGTAGTTGCTTGTATGAAACGCAAATACTGTGTATTTCAACTGTTGTGTAAATATCTTTCTTTTCAGTTGGTCTGACAGGATGCATGGAAATTGATAAATAAATCTTTGCATTACCAAAATAATGTCTTAATTGACAGGGGAATGGTTAATCCTTGGTTTAAATCAGTTATGGCTCCTGTAGATGGAAGCTTTCAAATTTTTGGGGGAGAATGCCTGGGCAGATTTTAGGTTTTTTTAGATTTGCAGAATTCTGGGGAACAAAATTGCCTTTTTTTTTTTTTTTTTTTTTTGTGGATGGAGAGTGGGAGAAAAAGCAAAAATGTGCAGTTTGTGAGGTTTCAGAAAATCTTCCTGGGTAATTAGAGTCAAAATCTAAAGGTCAGTTAGATTTATGATTTTCAAGGTTTTTTAAATTAATTTCCTCTGCCTTCTAAGGAAGCATTTTGCAAGCTGTGTAATGAGAGCTTAAGTAATGGGTTTATGAAGAGAAGGTGGTGTATTCTTAGTCCCAGTAGCGGCTGTGCTGAAAACTATAGGTGGAAACAAAACAGCCTATATTTCAGAGCTGTTCTGAAAGGAAACTGTTTTCAAGGTACTGCTCTGGTATTTACCAAGAAATGAGAAACCCTTTTACCAAGGTACTTAGGTTCTGAAAGGTTTACACGAATAGAAAGTAGTCTTTAAAACCGTGAGCGCCCTATCTGGTATCTGCATGGGCTGTGATGGAGCAGGAGAGTAAGTTTGATACAGATTTTCCAGTACTGAGTGAACTTGGGGCAGTTGTTCTGTAACAAGGCTTTAACAATGGGGGCTGTTGCCATATCTTGGGAGGAGCTTAAAGCTGAGTGGCTTTTGGGAGGCAGAAGTGAATAGAAGCATCCTGGTTTGTGGATTTCTCTGGCCTTGCCAAAGATGGTTCCTTCAGGGTATGTGTGAATGGCTCTGGAGCTATCAGATTGGCACCTTTATATTCCTTCTGTTTTGCTTCCTGTGGCTGTTGATAAATTAACAGATGTTTTACAACTGATTTCAGTTGTGACATCCAGGAAATGGCAGAAGCCACTGTAGGAGGTAATACTCCTGGCTGCCATTTTACCTCAAGCATGCTAACTAGAAAACGAGGCATCACAATATCTTGTGAATTTTGTAGTTTTATACAAGATTTTATCTTCCAACGTGTAGCCACTGTAGGAGGTAATACTCCTGGCTGCCATTTTACCTCAAGCATGCTAACTAGAAAACGAGGCATCACAATATCTTGAGAATTTTGTAAGCACAAGATTTTATCTTCCAACGTGTGCGCTCCAGGGGGTGCTTAGACATACTTCTTTCCATCACAAGATGAAAAGGTGAGAAAGGTGTGTCCTCTGTCTTGCACTGATGCTGTCTTGAAGAAGAAACAAAACTGGGTGCTGAGCAAATGATTTAACCTTGGTTTTCTGTTAAGGAGAAGTGGATAATGGTTGTTAAGTGACTTTGACCTCTCCTATCTCACATTCTAAGCAACTTTCTTAACAAAGTAGTTCAACATTAGTAAATATGGAAACAAATTTCATTTTGATATAATTGTTTTTTTGCAGTTCAACTTAGTTTAAGTTGATTGTTAACTCCAATTTTTTTAGAGGTGGCTTTATTTTTAAACATCAGGCATACTGTATTTGCAGAGGCTGTAGAAGGGAAGGAAGGACTGTGGCAGGACTAGCAGACCTAAATGAGACAGCAAGTGCAACCTTTCCATAACCTTTCCACTATTTCACTTCCTGCTGTGTGAACTGCTGTAGTACAGGTGCTGCTGTTGAAACAGAACTGCCAGAAACTGCACACAAATTCTGGATTTGTCTCTATCTGCATCTGTGTTTCTTGCCTTCAGGTTGATCAAGAAGAATGCTTATTAGGTTTAGATATTATGCTTTTTCTGGATTGATTTTATTTAAATAAAAGATGTGACAGTCCCTTGATGTGCTGGATCCTTCAGTTGAAATAGACTGTGTACAAATAAATCATGGAAGTTCTGCAAGTAGGCTGATGGATGTATTGCGGCATTTGGCCCACCTGTAATAGAGCAGATTTTTACATCGAAAAGGCATGTGCCGCTTAGTAATACATACTGATGTTTTAAACCAAGACTACTATAGTTTTATTAAGTGTAGTTTGTTAGCAGAGTGGATAGTTTGCTGTATCAACTGATAAAAATGTGTGATGCCTGAGAAGGTGAGGTGTGAGAGCTGAACTGCCATGCCACAGTAATAAAACCTATACACATGCTTTGTCACAGATGCATTGAACCTCGACCAAACACTGCCTATACCTATTGTATCAGACATTAATGTATGGAAATGTTCTTCTCAGCAGTTTAAGGATGCTGCAATACTTGCTGTTTAAAAATGTTTTAAAAGGATTGAGTTTGTTTATTCTGACAATTCTTGAGTGCTTTTTTTGAATGTGCATGCAGTAGCACTGTGCTACATAATAAGTCTAGGAACTTGATATTTATGTGCTCGCAGCTTGTCAAAGGTGTAGAAATTATACAGAGATTTGTTTGTGATTAGTTCTCTTAAAACCTTCTGACATTTTAAGTATATAGGGAAACTCATCACTGGAACATGACTATGTAGCAGCTGAAAATCAGCATCACTAAAGACAACCTTTATATCCAGCTGAGTTACAGAGAGAACACTCTATGTGGCACAATAAAAGTATTAGTTCTGGAATCTACTACAGAATGTGCTTCTTTCCAAGAAGTCAAATGCATTTGTGCTACCAGCATGTTGACCCCTTTTCACTGCAGAGGGAACAGACACAATCTTGCCTTTCTCGGAAGCAGGCTCAGGCTGTGTGGAAGTGGGATGTATCTACAGTGTCCTAGCACTTCTCCCATAAAATGTGCATGTCTGAACAGGGCTGAATTTCAACCATGCAAGAGCAAAGTGTGGGGAGGTGGATCATTTGCAGGTGTCAGATGTTTCAAGAATAAACAGCTGTGCAGGGACAAGCAAACCACGGGGCAGGTGGATTGTTTGTGTGAGGAAGAACTCATAACTGGTTTACACTAAAAATTGTTATTTTTGCTAAGCACCCATTGTACTTAAGACAATGTGTGAAGAAATTAATTAGACCATAATAGCTCCTTTTTTGGGCAGCTGAAACTCACTTGGTTTTTGGCATGGGATTGCTTACGTGAGGACCTGCAGCATTGTCTGGTGCTGCAGCTTATGGTGTGGCCTCTGCATAAGTAATGAAGTTAGTCATAGGTTATTTTTTGTTAAGAACATGTGATGCATATTTGCTTTTCCTCAAGGGCCATCTCAGGTTGTTTTCAGAACTGGATTTAAGAATTTAATAAGATGTGCAAACTTTGCCAAAGCTGTGCTTTTCCAGCACTCCAATTGCTCTGAAGACTGAGTTGTATTGTCATCAATGTTTTTTTCCAGCAGAAAATGTTTATGATGTTATTAATTTACTTTCCATTCTTGCAATAACACAAAGCAGTTTAGCAACTGATAATGGTGTTTTAAGGAACCTTAATTTGCTGCTGTTTGTTGAACTGCTGGCATATGCCTGTAATGAAATGTGATCAGTTGTGAGGACACATCTATCCTACCCTCAGGGGCACTGCAGCCATTTGAAGCTGGGTGCTGTGGGTTCTCCTCAGAACACTCCCACTGCAAAGCAGGGAGCCATACTTAAGATACTGTGTCTGGCAGTTGTTGGCTCCTAATTTTGATGTCCACATTATTAATAAGCATTATTTATGAAGTATAAATTATAAAGTATATATCACAGACTGCAGGACAGGGTGGAGCTATAGAGGATAGCTTTTCTGAAGGTCTGATGGATACAACAGCCTTGCCAGTAGCAGTGTGAAACTGGGCAGCCTAACATGCTGCTGCTGTAGCTACAGTGTGCTACAGATTTCTATTTATGGGGCCAAATGCTGAGACAGTGACAGCATGGCAAGGGTAGTAAAAACCACCACAGCGTAAGGTGGTTTAACATACCTTTACCACCAGATAAACCCCTTTCCCAAGTGCACTTCTAGCAAGCTGCCCCTCTCTTCCACCTGCACTGCTGCTGAGCTACTTTGGTATGGGAGCTTTTTCCTAACACCCTTTCCTGGGGTGGCCCTGACCTTTGAATTTGTCCAAGTAATTTATTGCAGCCCTAAGAGCTTTCGTAATTACTGCCTGCTGCTGCCTTCTTTACTAGTTGGTAAGCACAAACATTGTGATGCTCACCTCTGTGCATCTGGTTTTTCCTACTCCACCAAGGAGTGTGTTAATGTGCCAGGAAAAGGCAGCATTGTCAGCTCTGCAAGCATAAAAATGTACAAGCTTCAAGACAAATAAATGGTTTTGTCGTTTTTCTTTGCCTTCAGGTTTTGGAAGCTTTAAGGTCTGTTCACTTTGTCACAGCTGTCATGAATCCTGGTTGCAATGGTGTAGCAGATCAGCTTTAGGCTAGTGAATGTCTCCACGGGTGGCTTTAAACTACAATGAGATGAGATACACCCTCCATTTGATGTGGTACCTCTGTATGTGAGCATCTCCCTGTTCTCTGCAGCTTTGGCTCCCTGCTCCATAGGCAGCTCTACATTCCCTAAGGTGTGTGCTGGAAGCCTGAACGTTTGAAAAGGGAAAATGAATGGAAGGAATTTCTGTGTCAGGAGTCTGTCTTCATAGAAGGGAGGAGTAATCAGTGCAAGTTTGGTAACAATCCTGGTGCCAATCCAGCACATCTTCTTGTAGTCCCTGTGGAGCCTTTCTTAGTAAGTATCTTGAATGATACACAAAAACTGGCTTGCTCTGAACTTAAACTATGAGCCTGATAGTGAAGAGGCTGCTGATGAAAAGGGTGACTATACATATGGACTGATGTGCTTAGTAATTAAAAATAATCTTTATTATAACTTAAATGTGATAGGAAATATGGTGAGTACAAACGCCACAAAACTAAAAGAAAAAAAATTAAAAAAAAAAAAAGCAGATAAAAAAGGACACCTTGAAAGAATTCAACTGATGGGGCAGATGTAGTATAAAAATCATAACATGGCTATTTCACCTTCTGCAAAAAGAGTTTATATCCTTCAGTAAACAAGTAAGCATTTTGCACTGTACAAAATGTACTTCTTTAATTAAAGGAAGAATATATATATTTATAAATATACAGATATGTACATTCTTGTAACATTCACAGTAAAAAAACCAAAACAAATTACCCCTGCCTGCCAAAGTGTTTGGCTCACAAGGTTTCCTCTTGATGTGAACTGTTTGCAATATTTTCTATGTCGTCTATGCAAATTTGGATACTTCAATTGACATCTAAATAGCATTTCATGCATAATGAACACAGTACAGGAACACTCTTTTGTTAAATTCTATTCACCTCCTCTGTTAACTTAAGGCTTGTAATCAACAGTTTGAAGCACTTGCTGTCTTTCCATCTTGCAGTGCAGGGCGGGGAGGTGCATTCACTTCCCCCTCTGTTTATTACTGCCTCCGAGGTCCACTTGAGTTTGTTCTGTTCTTTATATTGAAATCACTCTATAGAAACTATGCTCCTCTAATTAGAATGTACGAAATCCAATCCTGCCTGCAACTTGCAGGATAAAATGGTTTTGGGGACTCGTGCAATTAGTGGTATTCACTCCTTCTTCTCAGAATAAATAAATGCACTTCACCTTTTCATTTAGTTTTCAGAAACCTACATGATTGTTTGATCCCCCTCAGAAATCGCTGGATTAATGATGGTTTGCTGCTGGAGGGCAAGAGAAGGGAATAAAAGACCAGTGGAGGCATTTAGAATGAGTCACCAAAGTGACGCCTCCCCAGGTTTACATCACGCTGTTTCTCGAGGCAAAACTAGAACTTTCCCTGTATTTCATTTCTAAGACACAACTAAGAAAGCTGAGCAGCATTTCCTGCCACTGGAGTGTTGCTAGGGACAGTGCATGGCAGCAGACACTTCATTTGGGAAGGGAAAACTTTCATTTTCAAGGGAAAACTTTGCATGCCTGCTCAGGTGGCCTCCTGATTGTCCTTGTTAGATACGGTATCACACATCTCAAGCTTTCACAACAACTTCAAGAAAGTAAATATAATAGGAAAATATATGGAGAGGCCAAATTCTAAAAACCCCACAGAAGTCTGTTGAGGCTGAATAACTGCAATTAAATTATTTGTTTAGAATCAGTCAAGAAAGTATTGTTCCTCAGCATCCAACTGTTCCATCATGAGCTGCAACAAGGAGCCAATAGGAATCCTTAAGCTGGACTTCAGATTTTGCTTTTCTTGAAGAAGTCTGTAAATTGCTACATTTTGTAACATTCTCATAGAATTCTTTAAAGTCTTCCTTTTGTTCCCCACACTGAAGTGCAGCTCCATCCTACTTTAATGCCTGTTAAATATTAGCAGGTTCTTTTCCATCTAAAAAGCTGTGGCAGCTTCAGTTCCACGGCGGCTTCCAACTTTAACAAATTCCCGGGGAAATTTGTCCAGCTGTTCATATGCCAGTCTCCCATCTTCACCTGAATGCAAAATGATAAAGCATAATAATGTATTATGTTGTTGCCCTAGAACATTTAAAATACTGGATTCTCTGCTGTTAGAAAGTACTGATTGGCCAGTAACTTCTACCCCTTCTTAAACTCTATCTTGTTAGAAGCAATTTCACAAATTATTTGGAAAAGTTAAACATGCTCTGAATGCTCAATTTATTATTATTTTTTTTAATTTTCCATGTAACAAGTTTGGTTATCTAAAGCCAAACAGAAGCAGATGTGGCTTGTGTGATGAGGTGACAGTATCTGCACACTTGTTGTACTGAATGACCTACTGTGCTTGTCAAGGTCTCAGCTGCTGCTGTGATGTACTTGAGGTAAATGTTTATTCACTTCAGATGCAAAATGATAAAGCATAATAATGTATTATGTCGTTGCCCTAGAACATTTAAAATACTGGATTCTCTGCTGTTAGAAAGTACTGATTGGCCAGTAACTTCTACCCCTTCTTAAACTCTATCTTGTTAGAAGCAATTTCACAAATTATTTGGAAAAGTTAAACATGCTCTGAATGCTCAATTTATTATTATTTTTTTTAATTTTCCATGTAACAAGTTTGGTTATCTAAAGCCAAACAGAAGCAGATGTGGCTTGTGTGATGAGGTGACAGTATCTGCACACTTGTTGTACTGAATGACCTACTGTGCTTATCAAGGTCTCAGCTGCTGTTGTGATGTACTTGAGGTAAATGTTTATCCACTTCAACCTTGGAAAATATAAAGTTTATCCACCTCCCACTTCCTGGCACTTTAAAGAAGTGAGTCTATCTACAACGTTACTTTAATACTGCTGAAAATGAGGAAGCAGTATGTTTGCTAAATATTATTGTGTCTTTCAACCCCTTTTTCCTTAGCTACTACCATCTATATGCACTTTCATGAAGACAGCATTGAGCCTAATGTGTTGAGCTGGCAATTAGGAACCAAAAATGGTCTCTGTATGTTGTCTAGAAGAATGGCAAAACAATCACAGTTTTCAAGTGTCCCTGGGCTAGTTGTTTTATAACCTGAGCAATAACATGTCCAACAGCAGAATTCCTGCTTAAGTGGTGAATGAAAGAGAGTATATTTGAACTAGTTGTTTTATAACCTGAGCAATAACATGTCCAACAGCAGACTGAATTCCTGCTTAAGTGGTGAATGGAAGAGAGCATATTTGAGGGGTTTGCATAATTCAAATAACACAAGGACACCTCCCCCATGGAGTAGAAATTCAGGCTAGCTGAAAGGCCAGAAAAGCACAAATTTTCTGTGCCACTGAAGTACTGGTGCCCAGAAACTATGCAGATTAATTATCAGTTCTTTCTGTTTCTCAACCTCTCCTTTGCTATCCTTCCTTTTACTACTTCCCCCTCCAGACTCACACAATTCAATTTCTCTTTTTAGCTCATTTTCAAAATGAGTAATTTTTAAGAATCTGTATTTTCTGACTTAAGTCACTCTGTAAAGTTTTGTTTCAATTTACAGTCTCACATTTACATAGCTCAGGTGTCTTACATGCTGCTCTGTTAAAAAATAAAATTAAACACTGCTCTAAACTAGGCAACTCACCAAGGGAGAGCAGGGTTTCGGACGCCACTTTTCTGATCTCTTCATTGTCAGACTGGCAGAGCGTGACCAGCATTTTAATGCTCTCAGTAGCCTGGGAAGTGCAAAAAGAACTGCATTAGCACCACACAGGACACTCTGGGGTTTTTCCACAACCCTGCATGTAAATAGTAACCATCCTCTGCACTGTCCTTCCCACTCCAAGCAAAGGGCTTTGGTGGAGACAGGAGGAATGGGGTTTCCCTGAGAGGAAGCATTTGGAGGAGGTGTATTTTCTGCTGCTGGTGTGGACCCTTTCTAATTTTCCTACCCTATGCACCACACATAAAAATCTGACAGACCAGCTATATCTGCCACTTCTGACTGCAGGATAGGTGATGGGCTGTGGACCAAGGCCATAAAATGCCAAGATAAGGCTACAGCACAGAAATGAACAGGAGACAGGGTCTAGTAAATGGGTTTCCTATAAAGCCTGACAAGCCTGTGCTCACCAATATTTGCAGACTTCTGCCTTGCCTCTGCTATTGTTAGGAAGAAAGCAAGGAATAATCCTGTTCTGATACAAAAATGTCAGGTCTTTGGGGAGAGCAGCTGTCATAGTGTCTCTGTCTGGCTATTTAACACAACAAGAGAGATGAGTGAAAGGAAGGGCAGGTGCTGCCCCAGTGTGACACCTGGAAGAGGCACTGAGCCACAGAGTCAGTATTTGTATGAGCCCTGTCGATCCAAGGGGCACAAGGCCTGGTCTGCATGCTCTGAATGAGGGCTTTGCTGCCAGAGCCATTAAATCTCACCACCTTGTCTTCAGTGTGGCCACTCGTGTGTGACTCGGGGTGAGGCTGCACTGGTGACTACAGCTCGAATGCCTGTGAGTGATGGGGCCACAGCAACACAGAGCTCGCTGCCGTCTGAAAAAACCCCACAGAGATTCAGCAGGACTTTGTGCAACTGATTGTGGACTAAACTGCCCCTGGGTTACCCCATCCACAGCCACCTATCCATTGTAGCATTTCCATCTCTGATAACTTCCAGCTTCAGCTTTTTCTTTGAAGATTCCAGATGACACTTTCCCTCAGTAGCTTTTTTCCCCAGCCACAAGACTCACTGAAGTCACACTGCTCAAGTTAAACTTGTCTAGCTCCAGTTCCCACCACTGCTTCCTAGTCTGAGTTTTCCTGAGCATTCAAAAACCGCACTGCCGCCGCATGCAGCAGAGATGTAATGTGCCTCACCACTGCCTCTCAGGGATGCCTACTAGCTTCTCATTTAAGGGAAAGGGTTTTTTGTATTTAAACTGGATTATGTATTGAATGGCATCAGTTGTGACTGGGATGAAGTTACAGTTTAGAGCTGCCTTCCAGGGGACAGATTAGACAGAGAAATAGTAAGTCCAAAGTGCATCAGTCTCATGGAACGTATTTTTTGCCCCAGTATCCCATACCACCCAGGCCTGGGTGGCTGCTGTCTCCCATGGCTATACAACCAAAACAACAGTGCATTTTCCCATCCTGTCAAAGGCTGGAGTGCAAAGATGGTACCAGATGCTAGCTGAAGCTGTAGTGCCCACATGTACCAGTTATTTGTCACAAAACAAGCTGTGATCTCTCTTTTCTGCTACTGCAGCCCACATGCATTAGAGCTCATTTTATCCTGGGAAAGCACTTTTTTGTCCTCAGTCAGTACTTTATGGATTAACATTTTTTTTTCTCTGTGATGTGGAACTGAGTCTCCTGAAGTCAATATGAGAGGGAGGAAAAGATGATATGCAAAAGATAAAACATTGCCAAGGTCACAGAATCCAGGTGTTTGTGGTTTAGAAGGTTCTAACCCATTCCCTTTATCTGAAAAGGGATGGAGCACAGCAACACAAAACAAAAACACTACTGTTGCTATTATTGAAATTTCTATTTTGTTGTTTGTACCTATCAGATGTCCTTTCAAAAGCAAAGCCAAGCACCACAGTGTATTCCTTGTCTCTTACCTTGAGGTATCTTAGAGCCAAGCAAGCTGCTTTCTGCAGCTGGAGGTTGGGCTGGGTTAGTGCTTCACAGTAATAAATCAAGGCCTGAAAACAAAAGGAGAAGAATAGCAATGAAAATGTCTGTTGCTCCATAGAGAAGGGTGGAGCATGGAGGTATTGCTACCCTGTTAAAGGGAGAGCAATTGCAGCCTGCCTCCCTGACAGGGAGCATGTAGGATGGCACAGGCAGGATAATTCCCTACAGCAGATCCAGGCCAGAGCACTAGTCATAGGTCAGAAGTCTCAGGCCAACTTTTGGGGAGGAGAAGTTCACATTAAAGTGAGATGCACAATCTGGCACCTTTGAAGGCCTTTCACCACACATCACCAAAGAGCTTTGAGTGGTCCTTGGAGTCTAATATCTCAAGAGGTGGCCCTTGTGATGGTCTCTTTAATGTAAGGACAATAATGAACTAGTTGGTATAGATCCCAGGGAGACTTAAAATAATTATTACAATGAGCTGCTAGACCAGTTTACTGCTTGACCCTCGAAATTAGTAGCTACTACTGAGCAGCAAATCTCAGCAGCACTCAGCTGCACAGTGAATTCATCTGCAGCATAAGGCTGCATAATACTCTCACAGAAGCCACTCTGTGGTCCTTCCTGCAGGCAGTGGACCAGGTATCAGCTACACATGCCTGTTCCAGGAGAAGGTTATACTTGCCCTGAGATGCTGTCACCAGGAAACTGGGGATGGGAGAAGGATGGTATGAAATACCAAGAGGCTGCAAAAATGGAAGATGAAGTGGGAGGGCAAGCAAAGAGGGGACTGGATTGATAGACAAGAGAAGCAAAGACTTTTCCTCTTCCCTTTGCCTTCCTTCTGCCACTCTTCCAGCTGCCTTTTCTTTTGCTCTTTCATGACAGAGAGCAAGATGGATAGTAGGGAAAGGTCTGCCATGAAAGGGTAGGAGCCAATCCCTAATTTCTTCTTACTCCTCCTTCTTCCCTCTCTTTAATTTCTGTGTTTAACCTGGCCCTGCTTGTTGCATTTGGTATCAGAGATATACTCAAATCTTAGTTCTCACAGCTGAGCTGCATTTGCCCAAGGCAGTCCATCCCCTCTGGAAATGGTGGGAAGTCCCATAGATGGCAGACTCCTTTGGGAAAAAAAATCTGAGACCTACATCTTTGTGTGTTGGTGGTGCTGGGGATTGTTACCTTGAAGCCTTGGACTGAAGCCAAGTCTGAGAGAGGGCAGCAGAAATGGTGAAGTGTGGAAAATAGCTGGAGAGCACAGCACTCAGTAAGTATTTGCAGTTTTGATTGGTACCTGTTTAGCGTAATGACAGGTAGAAGCAAACTGGCATAAAGACAGAAACAGACCTGCACATGTGCAGGAAAATTAGATAGGATATCCCTCTGGATCAGTTTAAATCAAGCTTGGATCAGTGACTTTATATGCACAGATATTTGAGACATACAGGTAGAAAAAGGTCATGATGAAACAGGTCTCTCATGCGACAGGTGATTTTCTGCCACTTACCTTCTCCCTGAAGTGCCTGTTTTCTGCAGTTGCTGTCAGAAGTGATGCCACAGTCTCACTGACTTCATTTTTATTTTCATTGAGAAGTAAAGCCAAAGCTCTTAAAACTTCCTGCTGTGGTGGAAGGTTATTGGAGTTTATTTTGGACACATTTTGCTGCAGTTTTCCATCTTTCACTGACTGCAGCACCTGAACCACAGATGCTGGAAGTGCAAGAAAAGGTCTGTGTTACTTGCTTTATCCTCTCAGTACTTTGGATTGATCCTTTCCTCGCTAGCAATCCTTGATTTATACGACACACACTGAGGATATGAAAATATTCCCATCTGAGCAACTGCAGCATGGCAGTGTGTCTGCATGGGGAATTGTCTGGGTTTTAAGCTGGGCCAGTTTCTCAGATTTTCTTCCAGGGAGGAGATGAGTAGATAGGCCCAAGTGCAGCACTTAGACCTACCCAGAGCTACAGGCACCCCTGTCAAATCTCTGCTTTCTGCTGGAAGTTGTAAATTCTCACTCTAACAATTGAACCCAAATATCCTTGCCAGTGTATTGATTTTCAGAGCATCTTTGTGAGAGCTTTTCCTGGATAGACTGATGTCAGCCAACAAGAGCTAGGGCTAGTATGTTTCAGAGGTGAGTTGAAATACTATTTTGCTTCCAGGCTTTTGAGCAAAAGCTCCCTCGTATGCCCAAATAAAAAGGAACACTAGGCAAGGTTCCTCAAACTCCCTCTCAAATAGAGAAGAAAACTTGGCTTGCCAGGGACTGCAGTTCAGCACACTTTGTGCAGCACCTGCTTCTCTCTTTAGCTCTTGGTAGCAGAGCCTGCAAAACTCTGAGGTGCTGTGATCCCTTGGTCCCTGAGAATTGCTCAGCACGTCAGAAGGTGTCTCCATAACAGGTGGTGAAAGACCAAGACATCATCCAAGCTGTGAGCACAGAAAACTTCCCAGACTTTAGGCTCAGCCCACCACCATCAGCCATTCCCTAAAAAACAGTGCTTTCAAAACACTTTTTTTTTTCTTATTTGAATATGGAAACAGAAATGACTGAGGGTCTGTCTGCATCAGCTCCTTTCCCTTGACATGTACAACAGTTCAGGTGCATTCACTTAATAGCCAGGACACTTGTTTGTCTCTTTTCTCTCCTCCTTTTGTAAAACCAGCCTCAGGTCTGAACTGCTTTGTATTGAGCTCAGAAGGACAGAGAGGTAATCCCTAACCAGCCAGCAGAATTTATATACCCTACCTTCTTTTGCGAGCTGCAGCAAATAGCTTCCAAGGTCACTGACACTGTGGCTGGCAAAGTAGTTGTAATACTGAAAGACAGTAATGGTCTCGGAGGACATGCTGGAGTAGAGGACAGGCTCTGTCCGGTCCAGGATCTGAGACACCAGGATCCTGAAGACTGCAGGCAACCATGGACAAAGGGACAAGTTAGTGAGAGCAAAAGCTGCTGGCAAAATTACGCAGTCCACTTCAAAACTGGAAAGAAAGAACCTCATCTGCAAGGCCAGATACTTCCCAATGTTTCTAAACTCAGCTGTGGTTAGGTTAGAAGCTGGACAGGCCTTCTTCCTGTCTGGGTCTCATTAGCAGAGAATATCTTTGTAAGGATGAACCTCTGCCAGTTTACAGATGGCTAGTGCAGCTTCCTGTGCAATCAAAACAGCATCATTTCTACCTGAACAATATCCTGCATGGTAAACCCCTGTCCACATGCACTGCCTGCTACATCCCCACAGTGCCACTAAGGCAGGGGAGATGTGCACAGAGGCAGGATTTGGCTTTGCTATTTTTCATGTTCATGCACTAGTGTGGCATGCAGAAAGCTAGTCTGAGGCACTGCCTGTGAGAGCTGTAGCATGGAGCAGGAAGGAGAACACTGCTCTGTGTAGGCATCCAGAGTGCAGGTGGCCACACCTGGGTAAATAAGCCTCCATCCCTATTCTGTCCAAGGGAGAGCTAGTCAGTATAGCTGGAGTTTGAGGTGGGGGACATCCCACACAAGATAAGAACCTGTGCTCAGACAAACTCACTTGAATATGGATTAATTTCATCCCTGTGCACTGCAATGGGTTTGGGAATTATACAGATACACAAAATTAAGTTGAAGGATTCCTGATTCACTGAATCACTTACAAATCTGTATTTGGGAATAGACTTTCCTTCTGATTAGCTCATAAACCTTAAAACAGTATTTTCTTTTCTGTTAACCTCATTTTTTTCTTTTCTTTTCATTATTTGGGGCCAAAACTGTTTCAAGAGCATTAGTTTTCAAATGAGATCTTGGAACTGTGGCCAAACGGATCTCCAGGGGGTTGGAAAACAAAGCTCAGTACACAACTGAGCTTTCTCCATTTTGATGGCTGACACTTTTTTGCAGCGGTTTGTACCTGTTTCTGCAAGTCCTGGACACTCCTCATTCACAGTGGTGGCAAAATTGATGTCCAACTGCTTCATCATCTTGTCTGCAGAGGTGTGATACACTCCTGAAGGGCCAGTACACTTCATCCAGAAAGCCAGCAGTGACAGCTTCTTGTGGAACTCTGGAATTGCTGGGGAAGACAAAATGAATGATGAAACAAAGCCATGCTGGAAGCATCAGCTTTGAGAAAAGAAGGTAAGAATGGGTCTCAGGAAGCAAACATCTCGCCCTATCCTATTTGCTGTGTCTCCCTGAGCCATTACCTTCACAGAGCATGACCACGTGCTCACCCCAGGTTTGTAACATGTTTTTTCTGTTTCCCATGGTAATGTGAGAAAATTTGCTCCTGATTCAGTTCTCAGCATTGATATCTCTTCCTCTTAAATAGCACAAAATACTAGGGGAACACCACAAATGGTCTGCACAAGTTTGGTCTCTGTCCTAGCACTACACTTTTTGGCTTCAAGTAAGTCACTCAATTTTTGCCTCAACTTTCTGATATAGTAAATACACCTTGTAGTATTTACCTATCCTGCCAGAGTGTACATGAGGGTAACTATGTGTTTGTCAAACTCTTTCAAGTATTAAAACAGATGCAAAAAGAAAAATAACTAAGAAGTTCTCCATAGAGATGACTAAAAATGAAAATGTTCAAGAAGTTGTATTATGCCTCTGATATTATAATGCAAATCCTGCCTTTTCTCAGGAAAGAAAGGTGGAAGAAGAATTTGGGTCTTCAGAGGTGGAAGTATCCCCACCCCATAACACCAATGACATCTGTCCATCTTCTGCACATCAGGCTGGATAAGAAGTCCTTTCTCTTCTCACCTGCATATTTCAGCACTGAGGACAGATGTAGGTGACACCTGCCTTGACTGCTGCACCTCCTGGTGACCCTGAGCCAGCCCTTGCTACAGTGGCATCTCCTGCACTGCTGGTGAGCTCTGCACAGTGATTATTTCAGCAGACACACATGCCCAGGCAAATCCTTGTCAGAAGGAAAGCCCCTAAGCTGTTTCTTACCATCAGTAAGAGAGGTGATGTTTCCCAAGTTCTCAGTGCTGATCTCCGCAATATTCTCCACCACGAGGATCTGCCTGGACAGCTTATCCAGGAGGTCTCTTGTCACAAATGGTGTTTTACTGGAGAACACAATTTGCTGGTGAAGACAAATGGGAAGAGACAAAAAGGAGTCACTGAACCAAAAAGAAACCCAGCCTCAGAAAAAACAAAGAAAACTCCAAAACACCTGAAGTGCAAAGACAAATTCATTGTCTCAAACCACAGGATCTCCTTAACTTAAAAAAATTTTTGTTGTTGGGATATTTTTTGGTCCTAGTTGATATGCATCACTGCTTGTACCTTCAATATCTACATCCACATCCAAACACCTGAGTATCCAAGTAGCCATTTGTGTAAGTAATTTCTGATTTACACACTCTACAAAGCTAAAGAAACCCATCACCACAAGACTTAAAGCTAGGCAAGAATATTAGTCTGACTTTCACACAACAAGGACTGTAGACTTTCAGGACAACCCTCATAGAGGAAGACCACAGGTTGCTCTTTCTCCACTCCATTTCAACTTTGATCAATTATTTAGGTGCCTTTATTAATTTTATTAATTAATTAATCTTGCTAATACTCCCTACTGATATCAAGATGCTGATATCTGCATCTTGTTCAGCAGTCTATGTAAATAACGTTCATATCAAATCTGATTTGTGTGTGGATGTGGTTCAAGTTCACCTCACACAGCTGCATATTTACTGTATACTCTTGTATTGAAACCAAAAAACTCCCTTTTTCTCATACTGTGAGTCAGCAGAGCTTCCAGCTGAGCACTAAGGGTGCTGGAATCAGGCTCGCTCCCTATTGTTTCAATGAGCTTTTGGGAAAATAAAGCTAATTATAACTAAGATGGAACAGTAAAATAATTGTGAAGAGAAAGTTGCAGCATGTTTCAATTTGTCAGGAAAACCCTGATGACCTCACTTACTGGATGTTTAAATTCACATCTGCTGTGCATGGGCTCTGAAAAAAAAACCTACAGAAAAACCCCTCTAGTTGTGAGCATAAACTGGCAATTTTGGTATCCCGGGGGGCTGTCTCATGCTGTGATGAATCACCTGCCCAGTCGCTCTGGATTAAGAACCATGACAATTTGTACCTTCCCAAGCACTGAGCTGCTAAGAACAGCTCTGTGCTTTCAGAGTCCCCCTGCTGTTAAATTTAAGGCTCATTGCAGAGGGAAAGGCAAACCACTGCTGAAGTAAGAGACATGATGTTTTCATATGCAGTTTTAGACACAATGTGTACAGCTTACTTTGCCAATTGTTTCTGCAAGAGTGTAGAGCTAGTCTTACTGTGCTTTAAATCATTATTTCCAATATTGTCTTGCTGCACAAATGATCCTCCCTGTGTTTAAATGCAAAGCCTGAGGTCAGTCCCCAGATGGCAAGTGTGTTTGGCTGCAAGTTCAGAAGTTTCAACACTTGCAATCTTTACACTGAGTCACACACTTACACATCTAAAAATGGAAGTGGGAATCTGCACTGTCTGGGGATGAGCCAGAGGGGAAAAAAAAGCAATTTTAATTTCTATTTTAACTGGTTGAAGCTAGATCCATAAACGAGCACAGACTGGACTGAGGTCAGAGTGCCAGTTTAGCAAGAAACACAATTTCCCAAATTTTTTTTCCCACCAAGTCTTATTCTGGAATGAGGACATGAGATGATGGGAACTGCACAGTGATTGTTCATTGCACTCAAATTGCTTTAAGCAAGCTGTGAGTAGTATAGCTCCCTGGCTGGAAAGTGCAGGCAGGGAGGGAACCGTGTTCCTCTCTTTTTTTTCCAGCTCTAGTGCCGCTTACGTGCCTGCTGGGCATCGTGTCAGCTCAAAGGAGGCAAACATGCTTTTGAGATCCAATGATTGAAGCACAGCATCTTAAAGTCACACAACAATGGCAGGCCACGGCACAACACCACAGCTTTTTTGTTTTCTGTTTTTTTGCCTTTTTTTTTTTTTCTCAGAAAGACCAAAAGTGATGAAAGAAGGGCAGGTAACACGCAGGGCCATGAACAGAGTACCAGTCATCACTCTTACATTCCAAAGGCAACCTACATCATGCTGCTTAAATCTGGCCCTGTGTTATTGTTACTGACAAGCTTAATCCACTGCAAAGACTCATTCGGCTAGAGAGAAAAGACAAAGGGAGGGGGGAAAAACCACAGAGGAATTAGTAATTACATCCAAGGAAAGCCAGGTCCAAACCTATGTCAAGGAAGAGGTTCTGCCAGTATTGATGTCAGCCTAATTTAATTTACCCTTCTCCTTTGGAGGACAGATTACATATATTTGAACGGAAGAAAAAAAATGGTCCTGGAAACTAAAGATTTTGTATGCAGCAGCCATGGGGAGCCCTCTGACCCTAAAACTCATCAAGGATTAGTCAGTCTTCCTTGAATAAATTGTGCACCAGGATCCCCTGTTAGTAACAAAGAGCCAGGGTGTCAGTTTGGCGTAAGCACAGCTGGCAGGTACTACAAACTTACCTATTCTTCTCAATCTCAGTATCTGAAAATACCGAGTCTGCACCTCCTCCACCATTACAAACCTCCACACCACCACCATCCTCATCATCAAAGTCAGAGGTGTTCAGGAAATCAAAGCTTTCTAAAGCACTTTCAACTGTTAGACTTAAACTGGAGGACCTGCTTCGGCTTACTGCTGGCTTGCACTGCAAAGGCAGAATGAACCAATGAAAACCCCAGGTATTAGCTACTACAAGAAAGATAAGAAAAAAGAATGATAAAGCTTAAAACTTCAAATTCTTCATTTTATTTTTAAAACTTCATTTTATTGGGTGTTTCATTTCAAGCCTTCATATTCATAGCATATACAATCAAAGCCTGAGAACTGGGGAAAGCCTTTCATTCCTCCTCCCCTTCTCATGCTACCCACTCTGTTCCCCAAAGGAAAACCCTCAAAGGCAAAATTCAACTTGTTTTATAGAAATGAGAAGTACTTCTTGAATCCAAGTTTCACAGCTCTCGGCATTTTCCAAAAGGAATGACTGGGAATTAATGCAATGAAAGTTGAAAGGGGAAGGCACATTCCTTAATTGCTGTTCTAGCTACAGAAGCCAACTTATACATATCCAATGGCACTGCCTGATTTATTCCAGACGTAACTCTAACAGACCTTAGCCAGGAATGAATTTCATCCCATAGCTGCACATTTATTCATGGAATGAAAGGAGTTTTGTGGCCTTTGAAGCCAAATGGATTATCAAGGAAAAGCCAATAAGGTATTGGATTCCTAGGTGACAGAGAAAGGCAGTACTGTAACTCAGAAATAGTACTAGAGAGAGGGGGGAGACCATCCCCACCTCAATGCAGGGAAGAAACACAAAGGAAACCTTGCTGTTGCTGTAGGAAGTATGAAATACCCTGGCCCCATTCATCCACATGTGCCCACAGAATTGCTTCCAAGGTTATCCTGAAGAATCAGATGTAACTTGAGGGATCATCTCCATTGGTTGGTGCAATGACTTCAACATCTTTCACATCATGTGATTATTTATCAGAAACAGTCATGAGCCACTGGTGCCATTACACAGGCCACATCCTCCAGTCCCAAGCAGAGCCGTGACTTTGTCTCAGCTCACAGAAAATGAGAAAATGCCTCTGAGGAGTTCAGATCCAGCACCAGCTGCTCTAGAGCTGAAGGGAGTTTGAGTTCCATTTGTAATTCATTTGCACACAATACTAATAGTCATACATTTGCACTTAGGATGTCTGAGTCCTTAAACTGACTGTACAGTCCATAGCTGATCAGACACACTTTTCAACACATCTGTGCAAAGGATGAGTGCTGTATCCTGCTTCTTCTGCAGCATCAATGGTTTCAGCTTCCATTTCCTTCAGGGCTTGGTAGTGCAGCTTCTTCAAGCAAACGGAACACCAACATGTGGGCCATTTTCTCTGCTCATCTAATATGGCCAAGAGAGGTTTCTTCAGCCACAGCTGGATTCCAGCTCAACCCTTCTGCAAGAGGAGCCCTTTTCTGCATAGTTGCTGGTGATGCTGAGTGCCAGTCTGTGAACTGATCAATAGGTGATACCCAGGCTTCAACCGAAGAGGCATCCATCTTGAGTGTGCAGGAATCCTGTCTGCACACATCCATCCTCTCTGCCCCCATCCTATGTCTGTCTGTTTGTAACTTCTGATCAAAGCAGCCTAAATAAACAGTCTCCATTGTGTCTCTGCCCTTTGGAGAGTTGACCTCTTGTACCAAGTTAGAAAATAATAGTAATGGTACCTTTGCCTGCTTGAACCTCTCTAGGAATAAATTATGCAAGGAACAGGGGCTGCAGGCTGACAAAAAAACCACTTAACTTGGGAAAGTACCATGCAATGGAAATAAGGAGGTTAACGAAGTTTCTTTGTAAAAAGATAATGCAGAAGAATAAATGATTCCCCGCCTCCTCCTCAGCCTTGTTTTTGAATTATGAGGCTTAAATGACCAACTTGCATATGAATATGAAGCATTTGAAATGATTATTTCCCATATAATACTGTTTGCAGAGTAACGTGCCATGAGTTGTTATTCATGGGGGAGCTAAAACAACAGTGACCTGCAGTAAACATATTAACAACACACATGCAAATCCCTTTTCTTCCAATTTTTAACATTATTCTCTGCATCTTGATGTAATGACAGGATGTCTCTCATTATGAAAATGGGTGAGGGGAAAAAGGAAAAGGCCATGTCTAGGCGACAAGGGGACAGCAACCTTCAGTGATACTTGTGCTTCTAAATCCCTTGGCAATTTAGAAAATTCAGCTTCTATGACTACAAGGCCTGATCCTCAGCTGGTGTAGTTTTGCACAGCTCCACGGAGTTCAGGGGCAGTATGATAAAGTACACCCACTGAGGATGTGACTCATAGATTTCAAAGGCAGAAGTTTGGCTATATTTGATCCCCAGTATGGCACAAGCAATGGGTTCAAAAGAGGTGATTCACAATGGTTCACAAAGCCTTCAGAGAAGGGTATAATTTAATTACCCTTCTGTCATATCACCTTTTTCTCTTTCCCCCAGGTTTTGCTAAAAGTTCTGTTGCTTGAGGACACAAGGTTATGATAAGCACATTGCTGACAAAAGTTTAAAAATGCAACATTGTGAAAGGATACTCCAAGCAGGAGCAAATCTACTGCTACCAGGGAATTTCTAGGTCCAGAAAGCCTACTTTGATGTTTACGAGGCAGGCAAGGACATTCTACCTGCTCAGATTTTCTTTAGGGTAGCATTTTCTGAAAACGTACTCACTTTTAGGATGTCATCTAGATGCATCACTTCTTGATCCAGGTCCTGAAACTCTTTATACTGCTCTTTATGTGGCTCAAGAGCTAAGAGAAGCCCTTGCAAGGCCTCCTCAATACTTCCATCGAGATAGGACTTATATCCTTCTGATTCCCCACTAATGGATCCCTCACACGGCAGCCTCTCTGGGGTCAGAGGTGTCTCTGCTGATGTAAGCCTTTTGACCAGCTGCTTCGTGATGTTGCCCTCATAGGTATCCAGCTCCACAGGCTTGAGTTCTGAGCCTTCATCCGTGTCCTGCAGCAGAGACACCGGCACACTCGTTTCTGCAAAGACACGATCGCTCCCAGCATCGGAGATCTTTTGGCAAACTTCAGGAGCTGCCCTTGGGGTGTTCTTGTTCTCAGCCACCGCTCCCTCTCTGTGGGACAGCAGGTCCTTTGGCTCAGCAACAGAGTCTCTGCGGGAGTCGCTGCTGCTACAGTCCAGGCTTGAGCTCTGGGAGGACTCCAGGGCTCGGTGCTGGGTGGGGGTCACAGCGATGTCAGGGCTGGAGCTGACATGAGCAGACGAGGACTCTGCTGAATTGGCAGGGGGCACAGCGTCTTCGTAAGGCAGGTCACCAAAAGTGAAGGAGAGAGGCCGCTTCTCAGTGGCCGTTGTCCCATTTTCAAAGACATCATCTGGCAAATTTGACTGAAAAGATAATAGGGAGAAAATGTTTTTCATGCAGCATTGGAAAGAGGAAAAAAATAACAGCATGTGCCCAGGAAAGAAAAAGGCAAGGCAAAAGATTAAAGAAGCATTCAAGACTTCAGAGATGGAAAAAAATATTTCAAATCAAACTTCCGCTTTCATCTGCCATAGCTCCTCAATTTCAGTGTGAAAACTTCTGGAAAACCTGGGCTCAGCATCTCTCTGCTAAATAGAGAGCTCTAGGAAATGATCTCCAGAGAGAGTCATGAATTCTGCTCACCCTATATTCTCTCAAACAGCATTTCCAGTGCACTGCTCTAGTTCCTGTACCATGGCTCTTTTTAATGGGATTGTACGTAAGCCACCTTGTCTGCATTTTCCTGCTCATTACAGATTTCTATTCTACTTATTTTCTGACTTCTAAAGTAGCAATCCATAAAACACAGCACAAAATTTTGCTCCAAAAGTTTCTCTAGTGTCATGGTGGTTAAATGGTGATAGTACCGTGCTATTGCTTTTTATCCAATGTCCTGCACATGGCATGGATGTCTGTAACAATTGTTGAACAAGAGTTATACAGGAGTTCCATGCAACGTGTTTCTGCTGAACTGAGTCAGCAATATTGGTGGTATATTGAGCACGACACTGATCATTAAAGAAGCAAAACCAGCCTATGCAGACTCCAGACTTATCATGGCAGACATATATATATAGATGTTCATCTCTGATTAACATATGGGGAAAAATCACTATAGGAGTCACAACCTGCCTATCTAACCTACAAACCTTGCTTTGTTATGTGGCCAGCTCATGGAAATGCATGGCACTGATGGAAGGCAACTACTATTTTGCTGACAATTTGCTGCAAAGAACTGTAGGTATCCACCTGTTGCTAAGCTTAAGGTTTAAGTGTCCAAAACTTGAAATTTTTTTCTAGTATTATTAGCAGCTTTTTTTTTCCTAAACATTATCATAGTCAAAAGTTTATTTCTTCTTTCCCTTGACATGGGCATGCTTTTAGCTTCTGAAAGTCATGTTACTAAGCAAATGTAGAGCGTCAATCAGCGCAGCAGGTGATTTTTAAGAACCCTGTTGGCTTGTACTCCTGCCCTGTTCTCTGCCCACAGACAGCTGATTTCTGATCATTATCTCTGCAGAAACCAAGAGGAATTTTGATTTAATGTGAGCTGCATGGGCTCACAGTTATGTCCTGCCCTCTAATCAGTCAGCAAAATGAGCAAGTTGCAACAGAGAGCGACACATGAAGCATGCGTGGGAATGGAAATGCCACACAGGAACTGAAAAACTCCTTCACCAAACAAAAACCAGGACTCACATATAGCTCTAGCCCTGCTTTTGGGCTTAGCCTGAGCGATGGCAGGTCACTAAAAGAGCGACTGCGACGAAGCTTGTCAAAGAAAGTGTCTTGAAGAGCATCTAAGATTGTCAACTTTGGCCTGTCTTGCAGGGGATGCAGCCATTTCTTCAACAGTTAAAGCAAAGAGGGTGTGAGGAAGGGCAAGTTAAATGAATGCTTTGCAGCAGAGTACTAAGTTACAGGCATGGGATGTGGCACTTGTAAAGTTAATCTCTGTACAGATGGCCTGATTAAGTATTCAGAATTCAATTCATGCAAAATGTAGGAACACCCTGTGAATATCTTCAGTACAGGGGGAAATTTTATCACAGGATACTTAAAAATACTTGTGCTATAATAGTTGTTAAACTACTGTTGCAAAATGAAAACACATTTTTTAAAGATTATTCAAGCATCACAGCAGTCAGGCAGGAAGGATAGGTATGCATTAATTGGCCACATAGTTTCAAAGATGCCAGGATCATAGTCACCTTCTTTAAGGATTAGCAGCTAGGAATGCACTTGCTTTATATGTATTTGTAAGGGTAACCTGCTGGAACCAGGGCAAAAAAAGCTTAGACACGTAAAGCAGTGAAATGTTTGCAGTGTTTGAACTGCTCTAAGGTTTCTTGTTACATAAACACAAAGCCAAACAGAGCTTACAAAAAATGAGTGGTCCTTGAAGGTTGGTGTTTCAGGAGTGCCTTGGCTGTACATGGACATTCTCCTCTGGAGAGCAGATGCCTTGCTCACATTTCCCGTGGATGGGGTCAAGTCTTCAACATCAAATGGGCTACAAATACACAAGTAAGAGGGGAGAAAATAAAAGGTTGTTAGGCTGAGCAAGGGGGACTTTCAGGTCAATAGAAAGCATTTTTGAAAGGGTGGTTTATTAGCACATCAAAACCAAAAGGTAGCAAGATTTTAAACTGAAGCGTTTAAAGAAAATGTTGTTAATTAGACAGCAGTCTCAGAAGTGTGGTTTTTGGGTCTGATAAAAGTGTTCCCTCAGAAATCATTTATGTAGTGTAGTCTGATGTTATTCTTCTCACATGAAAAGTATTCTTGCATTTGAGTTGCCAAGTGTCACACATACTAATGAGAAAGGTGCTCAACTATTAATAGAGCTGTTGCATTGTAAAGGAAATCAGGAGCTGTTATTGCTGCCTTCATGTTTATTGCATTGCAAGACACAGCACACATGACTCTAAAAAGTTAAATGCATCAATGCTTCTTCAGAAATGACATTTACTTTTTTCATTAAAATGCAGTGAGAATTGGGTTTGTATCCTAAGGCTACCAGCTCACCTATGCTGACCAATGTGAATAGAAAACACCAAGAGATTTCCCATCACTCTTGTGGTGTATGAAGCCCTTAAAAGCCAGCTTTTCAAGATGGGCCAGCTCCTGAACTTTGCTATGCTGGTGTAAATTCATAAAATGCTTTTTAAAAAACATTTTTAAAAGCATATATTATATATATAAATTATATATATATATATAAATTATATATATATATATGAGCACTCAGTTATATCCCATTTTTAAGCTTTGAAGTAAGCTTTAGGCAATTCTGAGATCTATCATCACTAAGCAGTTCCCATACCTTATAATGTTCTTACCAAACCTAATTTAACAGCTGAAACTAGGCACAGTCCTCTTTACCACAGGAAAACCAAGCAAAGTGTGGCTGACCATGAGCTAACTCTCATATACCAAACTTGGGCCACAATTCCTTCACAGTCTTCCTTGGCAGGGAAAAATATGGAGAGAACAACCCATGGATGAGCCATTTTTCTTTGGTTGAAGTTTTACAGCTGATTGATTGATTGATTGACAAACTGACCAACAAGTTGTACTTACTACCAGGTGATCTCAAGGTTCAGCTTTACTGTGCCAAGGTCATTAATGTCTACTGCAACCACCTGAGGCCGAGCTGCAAACAGGTCTTTTGTCTCACAGGTTACACTTCCCACAAGGATATGAGTAGCAAGCCCTTTAACTTCTGTGACCTGTAAGAAATAAGAACAGGATATTTAGGACCACAAAGGGCATTGCACACCTTAATCCCAAGAAAATAATTTTGATTGTCTGGCCTGACCCCCTTGCCAAAAAGCTTCTAAAAATATGATTGTCTGTTGTATTACATAACGAAAAAGTCTGGGTTTGGTGGTGGTTTTGTTTTGGCTTTTTTTAGGAAATGCATAGTTGCATATGATCATGATTCCATGTTTTATGTTTTTTTATAGGAGTCAGAAGAGGACAAGCATACTAAGGGGCTGTCTAGTCTGATATTTGATCTTTTGCACTAATGATAACCAGAGCCCAAGGGAAGAGTGAGAACAGGGAGGCCATAGAGTGTCTCAGCAGTTGACAAATTCCTGACTGGGAATCTCCTGATGTAACTTGTCTAATTCGTAATTCCCAAGGGAGCTCTCTTGCAGGTATTTCTCTTTTGTAACTCTGAAGCCATGTAATTGTTTGCACCAAGGATGGCCTTTGGTGAGGACTTCCACAGTTCTACTGTTGAGGAACCACCTCTGTGTACGTTGTTACAGTAGGAGTAGAGCACTATTCATATTCAGAGATATATTTGCCTGGGAATTCAGAGTGACAGTTCTATATGCAGCTCCTACATAAACCAGCCTTTGGCTGTTTGCTTGAAAGTCAGTTCTTGAGCCTCTTATGTGAAAGTGTTTGGACATAATCCAAAAAGGGAAGAGAATATACACATTAACCTTAATAATACTGGGATTCTTGTGTACTATAAAAAGGGGTTCTCTCCTAACTTTCCACCTTAAACCTGTGTGTTAGATTGAGGAGAATGACTCACCATGTGTCACAACTTGCATTTCACTGAAAACCTACTGTCTCACGGATCTGGGATTATTTTGGTTGTGGGTTTTGTAATCACCTGCAATTTTTTCATAAAATCATTGCAGTGTCTAAGTGGGCCATTTCCCCTAAGACTTTCAAGACATTCTTCTGTTTAAGCTTCCTAACCAGGGACGTCTGGAATGGTTTCTAGAAGCAGTTTCTAGACAGGGGTCAGAGAATGGGTATCTCTAGGTTGAAGGCTTATTGGAAAGAAAGCATATGGACTTCCAGCCAGGAGAAAACTGTTGGGACACTGGGGGCAATGAAGAGATGGAACAGTGATGGAAAGACTCCAGTTTGGGAAGAAAATCTCTCCCACAGCTCTCACAAACTGATTAGTCTTGTAGTATCTACACTGGACAATACTACAGCACTTTAGTAGGTGTGTCAGAAATATTAATTATGGCTTGTTTCTAAAGAATTTAATGATCTGCTTCTGTGTTTTTGCTGATGGTGCATGAGAAGGCAGGTTCTTGACTCCTGCCTTGCTTGCAGGCAAAAGAGTCAGCATGCATACCTTAATGGAGATCAGTCCAACAATGAGAGGGAGGAAAACCATCTCTTCTCCATCCCAGCTTTGCTTGCCGTTCACTTCTATCTTGCCTTTCAGTTTCCAGCGCTGGCGACCGTAACGCATGAAAATCTAAAAAAGAAAAATCCTCTCATTTTCTCGAGAAATCTGTTCTCGTGATGCACAAATATCAGAAACAGAACTGGGGAAAGACTCTGAGAAAGGCTGGAAGAGTTACGTGCCATAGGTGCTGCCCTTCCACTTCCCATTGAGTCAGAAGGAGAAATCTACTGGAGGATCTCTATCTCTCAGCTCTCCTAATTGCTCCTTTTGGTAGTGGACCCCTCATTCAAGTTTTTAACTTCATGTAACTTGATGACTCATAACAAATCTGCAAGGCATTTAATTCCATTTACAGGGAAAGTGGCAGGGCAAGGGAGATTTGGGAGGGCAGGATGAAAGCATCGGTGGTCTATCCTAACATCTACAACTTGTTGGATTGTCTGCCTTTCCAGGCAGGTGAGCTTTTGGCCATTCCCCATCAGAGACCATCCCAGCTGTGAGGTTTTGGCTGTCTGATAATGGAAATTAATGACATCCATAGTGCAGTAACCCAATTTGAAGCATCAAGGGCAGGAAGACCACTTTGGGCTAGCTGGGAGACACCTGCACCTCTGTGACCGCACAGAGGAAGCAGGAGTCATTTGTCACAGGGAATGAGAGTGGAAACAAATCAATCTATGATCGAGGCAGCTAGGAAGTACTGGTTGGAGGGATCCATTATTAATCCACTGCAAATTTATTGCAAGGTTAGTTCTGTTCTGGTAGAGCTGGAGGCTTTTATTTTAATCCATCTCTAATTAAGACACTCCTGATGATCTCTACTGAAACACTGCAATGACCAGAGACCCTGATGCGGCCTCACAGCAGGTAACATCTGGGTCTCGAGACATGGTTATTCAGTGTCTTTCTGCCACTTAGATCTGTGATGTAGTAGAGCCTATGCATTCAGTAAAGGATGCTTGCAAGGATGTGTTCCATTCACCCTACGTGCATGGGATGGGGCATATGCTTTTTTCCAGGGGTATTATACACTTTTGTCACAAATAAGATTTTTAAAAGCTAAAAAAAAAAAAGCTCAAAGTTCTTCTAACAGCTATCACCCAGTTCTCTGAATGTAAAATCCAGGTCTTCTGACAGATGCCCTGACAAAAGCAGACATACAGAGAACGCAAGGTTTTTCAGAGCACATATGGGAAAAATAATAGCTGTTTATTGAGGCGCTGATGTGAAAAGATTTTATTCATCATGATGTAAAAAGCAGCAGAGGTGTGCCTTCCTTTTGGTTCTTTTGCTATTTAATAAACAAACTCATGCAGACATACCTCATATTGATCTCCTGGGCAGAGCCGAGCGAAGCCAGCCAGACCTGAGAAGGAAAGACACAGAGGGGCTGTGGGAGGGCCTGGGCTGCCAGGCATGGCTGAGCCCAGAAGTGGGGTGCAGTGGGGTGCCCAGATTCACACTTGGACAGAAGAGACCAACACTCTCCTGCAGCCCCCCAGCTGCTGTTTATATCCCCCCTCTTACTGCTGCCTGTGCACCCTCTGAACCAAGACAACCCACCATCTTAATTTTCTTTATTTTGTGTAAAATTCACTGGGCTGTGGTTTCTTGCACATGGAAGATTTATGCCTTCCAGCTTTTTTCCCTGTTAGAGCCTAAAGTTTCCTTTTATATAGCAACTATAGAAAAAGGAGAAACACCTCTCTGATGTCATCTGGCTTCAGACACTCAGCTGAGAGCCCCTCCCATGGCGAGGTGTAGGCAAGCTGCTGATCCCCCTGATCCTCCTCAATGCTGTATGACCGAGCTCCACACTTCAACACAGATCCCTTTTTCAGTACATCTTCAGAGAGACACAGCAAGCAACAGGGGCTCCTTCTGCTTGGTGTTTCCATAACATTATCATTCCCATAATAGCTGAGTGTCTTTCAATAGTAAGTGCATCAAAAAATATGACTGACATCTGTAATACCAGATTAATCCCATTTTTCCCCAGAGCAGGAGAAGTAGCACAGCAAAGCACTTGTGATCTGTGTTTGGTTTTGGGGTTTTTTAAGGTAAGACATAACAATGCTATTTTTATATCAGCACTGTGCATATGAAATGAAAGTTTCCTGAGGCTCCACACTGAAATCCAAGGGGAATTACCACCCTGCTCCTGGCCTGCTGACCTGCTTTTTTACAGGATTCAACTGGTTGTTTTTCTCATAGAAGGAGCTTATCCTTTCTCACAGATTCCCCTCAGAATGTAGCCATTGCACTTGTTTTGGTATAAAAACTTAGCCAGCTTTGCCTGTGTGAGCCTAAATCTATGCCTCTACTGTTGCAGTGTCCAAAGAAACCGTCTTGAGGCCACATATAAAGCCTGTGGCAGAGATAGGAATGCCCCAGCGCAACACACAGGAGTGTGCTAAAATCAAGAAAAGTATAAGGAGCCCTAGTGCTGGTTGTATTTGCATGAATTAGTCCTGCTAGCTGTACTGTAGGAGCAACTCAATCCCTGCATGCAGTCATGGGCTGTCCCCGTGATCTGCTTATCTGCCTCTTCCATTTCTTTGACCAGAAAATAGTTTTCTTTGCTCATCTTAGTGTTCAGCAGAACAGAGAGGCCCTTGCACAGAGCTCATATTACCAATTCCTTTCTAATTTACTGTTAATAAATAATTTAAGATTACTAGCAGTCTACCACTGCTTCTCTCTCCCCAGGCATGCTTTTATAAGTGAATTTGATCCCTCCTGGGACACATCACCAAAAGCATGTGAGGAAAACAAATGGTCCTTTTTTTGCCCAGTATATGGGGAGGGTGGGTGAGGAAACTCCAGCTTAAAACTCCATATGGATGTTGAAGTCTGTGAGCTGTGACTGGCCCAACCAGGCTGGCCAAGTCTTCTCAGCATGATGAAGAGGAAGCTAAACGCTGACTTGACAATAGGGCATAAGTACTTTCACAGGAAACAACAGGGGACAGGGTCATCACTTTGGTAAGGAGGCAGGGCCACCTGGAGCTCATGCAGCATGTGCAGCTCTGCTGGTGTGCAGGATGCTGGACTCCTGGCTGCTGGTGTGGGCTCTGTGTCACAGAGCCACTGGTGTGTCAGGCCAACATATTGGTCTCCCTCGAGTGAAACATCTGGGCTTTTCACTTCCTGCTGTCCTGGCTCTTCAGACAGCTATAAGGGCAATTTCCTGAACATCACAACAGGACACGCAGATTCCATACAGGAATTCCCACACTGGGTTTCCCTGGTAAATTTCAACAACTGATTACTCCTGACCAGTTAGCTAAGCCTGCTGGCACATTTATTATCTTGATTTTAAAAAATTATTAGGCTTTTTTTTTTTTCTATAAATATCAGTCATAAAAGCTCTGTGCAGCTCCCCTGCTTCCTGACAGCATTGTGTAGGTTGGCTTGCTTTCAGTGTAAGTGACAGAGGGCACAAAATAAAAATAACTTTCACTGGAATGGCTAGGAACAGATAAGCTTTGGGGAGAGGAATGCTTTGATTTTAAATTAGATCCTAAAGTTAGCTGGATATGCTGCAGTATAACTTAAGGGAAAACTTGCTGTGTGATCTGCAGGCTTTTTTGCCAGAACTGTTGCAAGCCTTAGCAATAGCGGTGGCTGTATTGTCCTATAGGATTCCTATTCCTAGGGAAAACTATCTAGATAGAAATCTCAGATGCCCTAATTAGAGAATACTTAATATGGAATTTCTCTGCTGTTTTCTAATTTGGGCTTCTTTACATGCTGCAAACTGTGTTCAGAAGGAGCTGCTGGTTGTGCTCTGCTCCTGCACATGAGTGCAGTACCTGCCTTCTCCAGAGCCCTTGAGTTCTGCCAGAGGATTTGGCAACCAAAAGAGAATGGGCCAGACCTCTTCAGCCAAGATATTTGTGACACTGTGACACGTGTCCAGCTGTGGAACTGTGTACTGCATTTACAGCAAGTAAAGAAATGCTCCAAGGCAACTGGAAAATCCCTTTACACACTCTGTGACATTGTTTCATTCAGCATGTCCATGCTGTGGTTCTGCTGTGGGTTCCTGGACAGAAATATCTGTCTCAGTTTCTGTGTGTTCATCTAAAACCTGAGGGATGGAGCTAGGAGAACTCCAGCATCTGCTGCAATTGTTTTCTATAATATGAGAGTGCAGAGTAGCTCTTTTAATTTAATCTAAGATTAATCTTAACCTTCTGCAATGCAATCATAGGAAACAACTGTGACAAGGCAGGCAGAATCAAAACCTTGCATGAGATTTGTGAGCTCTCAAAACTCCACCAGCGATACTGTGGATGTTTTAAATGGCAAGATATCAGAGAAGAATTAAGAGTTCATGAATATTTAGATGCTTTGTTTTATAGAATTATTCTCATGCCAGTGACTGCTGATCCAAAAAAGATATCCCCTCCCAGTGTCTTCTTTAAGACATTGAGTCTTAAAGGGACAACAGCATTAGCAATACCTGATGATCCATTGAGGCTTCAAGTAAAACTGATTCCATTGTATTCAAACCCATAAACTCCCCTGTCATAAAGACAAGGAATAAAAAGGAAAGGTGAATGCCATCACAGAGTTATCATCCTAGAGTTATCTAGGAAAACTATCCCCAGCTTTTTGCTTTTTTTACATTGGGTCAAAAATAGTACTGGTCAAAATTAGCAAAAGTAAAGGAGTTGGAAATAGCTGATATCAAATTAAGAAGTATTTTAAATTTCTAAGTTCAGCTCCATGGCAATTCAGATAATTTCCCAGTCACCTTCTCAAAGAATTACTGAAAATAGAAGCAAAAATTGCAGCAGTCTTCAAAATTGAATTGCTTTGGCTGTTGGGAGGAGTCTTTGTGGGAGGTAATTAGTCTAGAAAACAAAAAGCGGAACCTCAGAAAGTCTGTAAGCATTAGTGTTCCTGTTTCTGTAATCCTTTCCAGTGGGCAGGGGTGTGAACTGGGGCTTTGAAGGCTCAGCAATGGGTGGGAAACCCCACCTGTCATAAATGCATGTCACACAGCACATCTCAATTCCCTCACCAACATGTGCAGCAACTGCTACTGTTTCTGAGAAAGAAGGGAAAGGTGAAGAGGCACTTACCTTTCATCTTGATGCAAAACTCCCCCAATAGGTTTTCCAGCTCTGATTCTATGGTACACATGTTCTGTGTTGGAAAAAAGAACAGTGAGGGCAGACAAAACTTTGGGATTTTTTTTTTAAAGGTCTGTTTGTAAGGATAGATTCAAGATATTTTGCAATAAAATCAATCTCAGAGCCATCCTTCTTGTTTAGCTAGGTCTGGCCCTAAAAAATGGCAGCTATGCCTGCTTTATTTTGACACTGCAACCCTGTGCTTCTCTGCTGCTGCATGCAAATCCTCCTGACAGCAAAAGGGAAGCTCTGGCCCTTGAAGCATAACCTGCTCACTGTTCTGGTCCTCTCCAGCCAGGACTTGTGCCAACAGCTCCAGCTCTATGCCAAAGTGGCTCCCAGCATGATTTAATCGCTCAAGAAACATGGACTACATCAGGAACGAAGGCTGTGAGAGACTGGGTATTAGCCCCTCTCCAGTTCTTCCTTCAGATTTTGGACACCTGTCGCAGCTTGTGTGCTGGAAAGTCTGCAACACTATTAGACTTGCTTATCATCTCCTGCCTGTTTAATAAAATAGATTTTAATCACAGCAAGTACAACAAACAGGATGCAGCATATGTCTCTAGGCACATAGTTTCCAGTCAAGCTGCCATCCCTACATCTGCAGGTGGGAAGGAGGTAGTTGGAGTTTAAGTAGGTTTGGGGCAGATTTATGCTTTTGCTTTTGTGCTGCAGTTCCTAGGTATAACCCTGCTCTCTTAGAGTCTAAACTGTTCTTTCAAGGAATTCTTTGGGCCTGTGTAACCTGTCTTTGTCAGTCATCAGGTATTCACCTGAAGTAAAACAAATACTAATTCTTCTTTGATGGGTTTTCTTTTATTTCTTCTATCTGGATGAAACTCTCCCTGAAATTAGTGGCAAAGTTCCCATGGCTTTCCAACAGTGCGAGAGTGAAAACAATGAACTGATGAGGATGTACCTCTGTGTATTCCTTGTAGCTCCTGTTGATTTCAGTCAAACTCTCTCGAGCTGCTTTGCTGGCAGGAGACATTGCAAAAGCTTGCTTCATTTTGCTGGCACCATCACAGAGACGTCTTTGGATACAATAGGCTTCATAAAGCTCATCCACCTAGTAGGAACAAGGAAAGTGTACTGAAAAACCGCAGAAACCCCAGCAAAATAAAGCCAACACAATGAAGTAATTTGCATTAAAAGAAAACTCAGCCAAACCACTATATCCAATGGAGGGGCTGAGGAAATGAAGCTGTGATAGTGTTACAGTCTCTGGAAAAGAAACACAATATGAAAGTAACTTCTACTGTAAAAATCTCAATAGAGCAACAGTAGATGCCAGCAATTCACCTGCTTGCCCTGCATGCCTCTAAGCATTGCCTCTTGTGTTCTCCCCATCATACCAGTGAGGCAGGAATGCAGCCAGCTTCTCAAACATCTCGCTGTGGGAGACTTCTTTAAAAGGCAACTGCAATGCCCACACTGCTAAATGCAACTGGAAGTGGTAAATGGCACATTTAGCAGGGTCAGCAGTGGCTTTGGTTCCCTAATATCAGCCATGGATCAAGGCTGTTGCAATATTTGACTAATAGGTAGTATTGGAAGTGGGAGTGATATTTTCAACACTTGCTGTCCATCCTTCAGAATCTGGGAGTCATACTAGGAATCAGCACAAGTAAAGGGCTTATAAACATCTGATGTCAAGCTAAAAAAGTATTTTGAACTTCAACTCCCCCAGACATTCACATCTACTAATTTTCTTACATTCCTTTGACACAACTTAGGGACCCAACATATTGCAAGCACTCTGGAAGTTTTGCAAAACATAGTCACGCACAGTTTGAAGCCTCACCTGGATCTAGCTTCAGAGGGGCAATGGATTTACACACCTCATGCTTTGGTTTCCCTTTTCCCTCTAATCCCTGTACTAAACACACACATTTACTCCAACTGAGTCATATATGTACGTATATACAACAGCTATATATAGTGGTTTATGTTTTTATAAACTAAATCTGCCAGATACAGATGATGTGGGTTTTCTAACCTGACTATCAGGGTGAGGAGAAGGACAGGAATGGAAGAAACTGTCTCTTCTTTCTGCTTCTAACATCCCTCCTAAAACAGGATGATATTTGGGTTTTACCTAAAATAACTATTTCCATTGTTATCTCTGAAATCAAGAGGTCATTCTGTGTCCTACAGTGCTCCTGCTCAGCAATGGATTTTCACGGCATAATTTCTTTCTGTGAAAGTATCCAGCACCTTGGCTTCATCAGTCTGTGACTTTGTGTGCTGCATTAGAGATGAGCCTGATGTGACAATCCAGGCATGTTTCAAATCCTATTTTCCAAGCCTGCTTAACCTCTAATAAAAAGTGCTGTTGCTAATTTGTTTGGAACGGGACTTGTCTTCCTGATGGCTTCAAAGCCTTCGGTCAATTTTTACAAGACTATCTTGGATAACTGGTAGCTGAAGCCTCTGACCTGAGGGCACCCTACCCAAAACAGGGAATGCTTTGCAAAGTGAGAGAGCTCAGCATAAGTTAATGACAACAAAGGTAGCATTTTACCATTTTGAAGTTACAAAAGAAGCTTTCTGCACTCATACTCATCCTGTTTCTCTTGCAAGCCAGCAAGCTAAAGACAGCTACTATAAATAGCTGTCACTTGGTATTTACTTCTGACATTGAAGTGGAGCCTTGGTCTGGGATTGATATCCTGCTCCTGCCCATGTAAGTGTGGCTAGGACATGCTCATCTGCTCCCCAAGTATGTGGGATCTGCTGTGGTGCACCCCATTTTTCTTGCTTTGCTTCCCTTGCAGAGCAGTGGTAGATAAAAGACAGAGGGCATCTCTGTGTCCCTGATTAAACACTGCTGAAAAAACCTTTTCTATCATTAGAAACAAAGATGTTTCTCCACCTGCCCAAGCCTGTGGGCTTTCATGCTACACACTCAGTTCCTTTTGTCTCTGTTGCCATGGGCTACAGAGAGTGAACTCACGTAGTTGGCAAGCCTGAGTAACACTGACCAGCGTTACCTCTCACGTTTGGTGCTTTTCACTCTTATTATAAACCCAGAAACCATTAGCTCTGAGCAGGCTGAAGTGGGAAGGATTTGAATGGAAATGTTCTTCAAGTACTAATTTTTGCCATTCATGTTGCCAGCAAGGGAGTAGGTGGCTTGGGGAACAAAATCTCAGTCTATCACCTCATGATTTATATTTTTATTTTCAGCTCCAAGAGAAAGAGAGGACTGAAATTAAAAGGTTTGGATAGGTTGCCATAATTAGAGGACTTGAAGCTGCACAAATGCTTTTTAAATGGCTCTCAAAAGACATTTCATCTGTCAAAAATAATTCATTCCTTTGTCAGGCTCAAAAAAGTAACTAATCACTAGCAGGTATGTTTATAAGTAAGAGAATACCTGCCATGGATTTCATCCAGCTCTAAAACATATTAGTGTAAATCACAAGTACCTCCACCGATATTCTCACCAATGCATTCAAGTGGATGTGGGCCCCAAACCATGCAGCAAAAGCATTAGCAGCGAAATCCAGGAATAAATCCAAACTAGCTGCTGTGTGTGTTAGAGATAACTGCTGAATTAAATTGCTTTCAGATGTAACTCTCCTACCTAAATAAGCATGCTGTGAGATAGATTTTCCCCAGCAAGTCTCCAACCCTATGTTTTCTCTGTACATAAAAGTATGTGGGAGTGTCTTGGGGCATGGCTGGACCTTGGGGTCCATGTGGAAACCCTTTCTTTGGCTCTGACCACCAGCCCATCATGGAAAAAACAGCCAATCTGGGAGCGGCCTCCGCAGCACAAAGGGGTAGCAGGAGGCCAAGGATTTGTTTCCTCAATAATATAGGAACAGATGCAGAAGAAAGATGATAGGAGGGAGCTCATTACCTTGCTAATGTGGAACTCCAGCCTTCTCATGTATCTCTCAACTGCTTTGATTTGCTGAAAGAAAGGAAAAGGCAGAGGTGAGGCACCTTTAAATAAATCAGTAAGACACTGCCACGCTAGCTCTGCTAGGACCCATGGATCTGAGATACTCCTCCTCCTTAAAACACACAGGATTTCCTTGACCAGAATCAGTTGTCCCACCCTACTACTCTTAAGCTGCTGACAATGGAGCTCCTTTACTTCTTTACCTAATGTATATTTTTAAATGTAAGTTTTCATTTGATGGGATATCTCTAGGTTTTTCTACTCATTAAAACAAACAAACAAAAAACACCCAAAAAACCAAAAAAAAAAACCCAAAAAACCCCAAAAAACCAAAGAAAGCAGAGCTTTTTTAGCTCAAAAAATAATGTTTTCAGTACTTTGAAATCCCATATTAATATTCATCAGGTTTTGCATTTCAAGATCCATTGTCTTCCTTAGCAAGCTGGTTTTGAGAATAAACTCAAGTTTGGCATTTTGACTGAAAACAAAAGTCAGACTTTTTCAGAAAATGTTTTTGAAGTATTTCTTCCACCCAAATTCGCCTGCAGGGAAAATGTATTTTCAGTTTTTCTTTCTTCAGAACTCGCAGGAGCAGGAATGAACTGGGGCTTGACCTGGATCCCCCCCAGCCCCCTGGTGCATTGCTATCAGCTCCCATCTGACTGGAGCTGGCTAAGAGAATTTGCACGAGGGAATGGATTTAATGGTTGTCAGCTGACAGAAAAAGGAAGTCCCTCCTCTGCTTCCTTCCTTTCTTGCCTGGAAGGGGTCTGTCTCTCTGTCTGTGCCCATCCCAGAGCCAGTGTGACCTGGCAGACCTCAGAAAAAGGGTTGGTGGGGTATGTTTCACGGCAGATCAGTGAGCACACTGTGTTTGATGCTGCATTAATGGGCAATACCAGAGCTCCTGGGAAGAGGAGGGGAGTGGGACTTCTTCCTTTGAAAATGTAGGTGTTGGCGTGGCTAGCAGATCCCTCTGAGAAAGATTTCCATGTACACTGTATGGATATTGCAAAGTGAGTGTTCAAGGGAATAGCATACCTTATCTAAATCGTACAGAACTCCCTGCAACAGAGAACACAAAACTGATTAATTTTGCAACACGATAGCACCATGAGAAAGTAGTGTTTGACACTCATCAGAACACACAAACAAGACAATGGCTAGAAGGGAAGAAGAGCATCAGTGAAAATTCCCTGTATCCCACACCAATTCCTTGGCTGCTCAAGCACCTCAAGAAGGCCACTGTGCATCTACACAATGAAAAAGCACAGCACGTACCAGGCGTGAGTTTCTTTTCATGTCTTTTAACTGAGTAGTCAGCTTATCCAGCTCTGTCTGGTGAACTTCCAGGTACTCACTGCAAACACAAACCAGAGAACGATGCATGAGCTCTGCAGCACATACCAAGCTGGCTGATGACCATCCTAAAAGAAAATCTGCCTGACAAATGTCTTTCCTCACTGGATGTGTTTACAGACAAAAAACTCATTTATGTTGATCTGTCCTAAAAGCAGCTCCCTGCTGCCTTTTTGGGAATAAATAGGAGTGCACTTATTTAAATGTGTAAGAGCTCGGTGTTCTCTTTACACTGAACAATCAGTTTCAAGTAAGCTAATCTGCTGCTTAGTTTATGGGCTGGTGCCTTCCAGTCGCTACTCCTGTATCTGGCTGATTAAAGCCCTGTTATCATCTAGGATGTTATCTGGAAGGCAATACAAGCTTTTGATAGGACTCTAGGAAACTCAGAGGGGAAAAAAAATTCTGATGTTGAAATCCCAGACTTTGGAAGCTTTTCTCAAAATGTGAATGGATATGGGATTCTGCCTCCTATATTCCTGTTTCCCATACAAATATTTTAGATACTAAGTGTCACAATCCAGACTTCAAGAGGTGTATGTTCATCTCTTGTGAGGAAGGATCCCTATTTTTGTTTCTCTAGGCTCTAAAATGTCACAGAAAGCTTCAGTCAACAAGCAGGATAAAAGCTCTTACTCCAGGCCACTCTTCAGGGCTCGGTAGACCTCTTCCATCCTTTTAGGCTGGGGTTCTTTGGGCGTGGTGCTGTTCTTATGGCCCAAATTATGCATTTTCTTCACCTTTGCTTGGGGCTTCTTGAGCGCTGAGGAATTTTCAATAAAGGAGTTACACCTGCAAAATGAACATCAAAGAAGAAGAAATCCCTATAAATCATAGAAATCTCAAAGGAGCAAAGCTTGAAGAAATCTTCTGATATTATCTCTGCTAGCAAAAAATGAATCTGCTTCTGTGCCTGCCAGTTAAAGGTCTGCATTTCTTTATGGGTTAAGAATCTGAGCAGCCTGGGATATGTGCTTCCCAAGACATAAGTGCTTGTCTGGAAATGCAAGGTCGAGTATGAGTCTCATCAGACATTTCTCTGTCTTACACCATGCCTGTCCTAACTCACATTAGAGAGTCCATGAGAGAGCTGAGCTACATCCAGGTGCTAAACAGAAAGGGGAACCCAGACAATCTCAGGTGCAAAGCCTGCGGGTCCTAAGGAAGACTGAGATTTGATTAAGAAAGTTACTGGAGAACAGCATCACACCACTGGTCTTGAGTATGGAGTGTATGGCAAAGTGAGGACAGCTGTGCTGCACACAGGTGCCTCTTCGGGGACTGTGCTGGTGCGTAGGTCAGCATCTAACAACCATCATTGACTTGGGCTGACAATGGGAGGCCCTTTTCCTGCTGTTACTCCTCAATTGCTAACTGGTGGTCTGGCACTGGGAGACTACACAAATTAAAATCAATAGTAAAGTAGCCTCTGGGAGCATCCAGGACGGCATGGCTTGGGCATGCCTGTCTCAAAGCCCTAAGTCCTGTGTAGCTAAGGGGCAGTGCACAGAAAGGCTCCGCAGCCAAGTTCAAGGAAACAGCTTTGTTTTGGATTCGTAGTTGTGCAGCAATGAGAAAACTGCCTTTTAGGCAGCAGTGGTCTTAAAAAGGAGGTGATGGCAAGTGTATCATGTGCAGTGTTCCTGCACATTTCACATGTTGAAAAGATCCCTGCATAAGTTAAAATGGTTCTCTGAAATTCTCTCACAGCTCTGAGGCATGTGAGGAAGCCCTGCATTAATGGGGGAGAGGCAAACAGGCAGAGGGTAACAGCTTAGTTATACAAAAAAATATATAGAGACATTTTAGCCTAGGACACTTTGTTTGGCAGAGAGTCAGAGAGAAAGAAGTCCTCTCTCACCTCCTTTCCCCCTTCATCCCCTTAAGTCCAGAACTCCCTTACAGCCTGATTTTGAAATTCCCCTTAGAGAGCAAGGGCACTTGCCTGGACCGTCTTTCCTGAAGCCCGCTGAAGCCAGCAAAGGACTGACTTCTAATAATCCCATTAGGACCTCCTGGAGAGAATGAATGTGATCCTATTGACATGATGTCAGGGAGCCTCGGAGATATTCCTGAAAAACAACAGAAAGCATGTCACTGAGGGTGGAATTACAGTAAAAGGCAGGCAGTGAGGCCAGACAGCCTGGTGTCCATCCATGATATTAAGGGGTACCTGAACCCCACGAGGGGCTGCAAGCCAGGGCACAAATCTGTTTGCATTTCCAAATGATCCCCACTCAAAATCAAAACAATCCTATTTTAACTTCTGACTTCCAGCCCAGGGTCAACTGAAAAATGTACCAGAGACGCAAAGAGGGTCTGGATGCGGGACTAGAAACCAGATACTTCAATGTGACAATCCCAACGCCATTCCCAACTTTTGCCATGCCTGGCATGCTTCACCCCCAGCCCCAGTGCCCCCATCTGTCCTGGGAATTATTATGGGAGCATGCAGAGCTTTTAGGAGGCACTCACCATCACTGCAAAGTGTGATTATACACAATAACAATTTTAAAAAGGATTGATACATCATGAATGCCCTGCAGCTCCCCTTTGATCCTTGCTCCCATGGCTGTTCAGCCCAGGGGCTGCTGACAAGGAAGACATGGTGGGTGTGTGTGCAGCCATGACATGCTGTGATGAGAGGGATGCCCTCCACCGTGAAGAGAGAGGAGTAAACAAGCTGCAGGCACTGTATGCTCTGCATTTCATGTGTCTGGGGGCGGGGGGTTGCTCAGCAGGGAGGAAGCCCTTGCCCTCTGTGTGCTCATTTCCAATGCCCAGCTTGGCATCTGCACGAAACTAGGATGATTTCAATCCATCCACAAATAAATAGTAGAGAAGTGCTACAGTTCAGAGCAGCTCTATCTGCTGCCACAAGGGAAAAGGGGGATGCCTTTATCTTCCTTTTCTCCTTAATCCACTGTTTTTCTTGTCTCTGCCCTCGGCAGACAATTAAATTGATTTTTCTGCTGGCTTGGTTTTGTGCTGCTCTGGTAACAGGAATGGCCCCACCAATTTGTGAGGAGCACCATGGCCAATACAGGCCAGGCAGCAGGGCAGGAAGTAGGAGGAAAATGGGGATGCTGGAGAAGAGGGGGCTGGTCAGCGGGTGCTGCCAGACACAGCTCCCCCATCCTGCAGGACCCATCCTCTCACTGCCTCCATCCTTCCTGGGATATCAGTTCAGCTGATGACACCACTGTGCTGTGAAACGGACTGAGAAACTAGGCCAGCTTAAAAATAATCTGACAGAAAATGAAAAAGAGGGGTTTTAGCAGTTCTTTTCCATCTATTTTAAAAGCTGGACCCAGCCTGCCCCATGGCCCCAGTTCATTTCACTGCAATAGCCAGACTGAGGGATGAGCTTGGCAATGAAGCAGGATGGTATGGCAGGGGCTGGAGCTGCCTGCAGGCAATGGAGCTGATGCTCTATGAAACTCTGACCTACAGGGCTGAGGGGTGACAGCAAGTCTAAACCACCCTCTCATCCCCACAGGTCAGGAATGACTGTGAGTGCCCAATAAAACAGCCATTTGTGAAAGCCAGAGATCTACAGTGTGAGCCTTCACAACTGAACATATTTATTAATGATAAGCACCGGAGCTACGTGGTGCTTGCATGGCAAACATTCACTGCAGAAAGCAAATATGTGGGGAAACATTGTGCACTGCTCAGTTATATTTAATTTGGAGCATTAAACTGGGCAAATACAAGTACTCTTTGGTGTGGCAGTAGGTGCCACGGCAAACCACTGTTTCTCTTTGGAGAAGACTGCATTGCCCAAGGAGCAGCTTTGTCAGGAATACTTCTGCAAGAACTCTGCCAGAAACACTTCTTCCAGTCCCAGCATTGCCAGCACTACTGCTAATGAGACATTTTCTCCATTGCATAACCCAGCCAGAGTAGATCTTCCTGTTTTGGAAATGAGGGCTGTCCCCCTGACTCAACAGACTCAGAGATACCACACGGGGTGCAGTGAAAGACGGGGTGCAGTCAAAGACAGTTTTCTCCTCCCCTGTGGTCAGCAGGTAATGGCACTTCACCATTCGTGTCCCTGCCTAGCCCAGATGCAGCTCACTCAGCTCGGGGCTCAGAGACTTTAACTACAGCAAGGATAAACCCCTGGGACACAGAAGCTGCTCTCAGGCAGAGGACCATGAGCACCTCTATTGGGCAGAAACCCACAGAAAGGGGAGAGCATGGAGGAGCAGAGAGGCTCTGGAGTAGCTGCTCCTCACAAACTCAAAAGATGCCACAGTTAGGATGCACTTTGTCTAACTCACACAGCGATAAACATACTCCAGCCACAGCTGGAGGTACTTGAGTCTTTGGTCAACGAGAGCCCAAATTTGGCTCTGTACTCACCCCTACATGCATAAGGCTCTCTGCACACCTCTGCAAGGCTGAGCTGTGCTCAGGCTTGCTGACACCTGGCACAGCACTTGCCAGAAGGCATTTTGCAGCTTCCAGGGTGAAACCTCACATCCCTATAGATGGTACAGAGTTTCCCTGTGCCAGCTTATACCTAACAGCTCAAACTCCACAGAGAGCCACCTCCTGCAAGATAGAGTGAAATCACCCGACCACAGTACTCTGGGGTCTGCACAGCAAGCTCCCTTTGGGTTTGCAAATAATCTTTAGACAATTAGGCTGCAATCTGCATGCTCCCATACAAGGATTTGCATTAAAAATCTGGTCCAGAGTGCCAAGGAGCAGAAAGAAAATCCCTTGCAAGTGTTCAATAATTGCATGGCTTGACAGGATGATTAACACACACACCCTGACAACATCTGGAGACCTAGGAGGAGCTAAACAACACTGACAGTCAGAAAAGATTTAGTAGCATAAACATCAACCATTCCTCAAAAAATAAGAGAGAGAAAACAAAACTTGAAGTTGGGTGCTAATCACAACCACAAATTAGATTCAAAACTGTCGTGAAAATGCTAGGATCTTCTGCATGATGTCTCTTCTGTATTAATATGAACAGAACAGGCTTTCACTCTGAATAGAATCTTAGTGTCCAAATCTGACTGTGCAGAAACACTGGAACTGTTTTGATTTTCTTTTCCTTTGGGCAACCTTAAAAAATAAATAATCTTGGAAAAGGAATGTACTTATTTATTTTCTTTATTTTGCTCAAGCACTCAGATGGCTTTGAAAGGCTTTAGTAGCTAAGACTTTCCCCAAGATACCAGAAAAAATGTGCAAGAAGTGCAATTGAAATGCAAATTGAAGACCTGCCTGGAGCTACTTTTGCTTTGCTTTTGCATAAAATGGTCAGAACTCACAGCCCAGATAGGCTTGTGGCCTCTCCCTATATATTATATATAATCTTGGTGAATAATGTATGTTTAATTTCTGTACAGAACAAAACTGAGATAAAAGGAGGGAACAGTCAGAACTGGGTAAAATCTCCCACTTCTGTTCAGTTATTTTCCATTGGTCAGGTTAAAGGTTGACTCTGTTGTACCAACACCATCTGTTCTTAAGACTTAAACTAATATTCATAATACAACATCTCAGACACTTCCAACTAACCTCATAAAATTGCAGACTCTGCATCAGCCCCTTGGCCCAGATTCCCAGAGACAATGGCTGCATATGGGCACTGCATTGATGGATTATTAATGATACCCATCTCACAAATACACTTTGAGTGATGAGTATCTGTCATGTTGTTGTGACACCCTCTGTTGAGAGGGCTTTCTTTTCCTGCCTCTTAAACCATTCACAGGTCTCTCTGCTATCAACTACATATACTTACCTCTGAATTTAATAATGCAGCTGTATCCTGATGATATGCATGGGTGCAGTTGTTAGTATAATTTCAGTAAGGCTCAGCCCATGAGGACTCACCCAGATCTTTTACTGACCTGACGGGTATCCCCACAGCTGAAGACTGCTAAGGGCATTCTGGTGCTACACCAAGGGAGTGATCAAGTTTCTCAGTCTACATTTAGTAGTTATGTAATATAATGCTACTGTCTTCTACATGCAGTATAAATTTTGTTCTCAATATAATGCCAGTTGCACATCTAAAATGATATTAAATGCTTCTGTGATTTGAGAGATCCACTTCAGCAGTGGATATAATGACAACACTTACACTTTTAAATCTATATAGTTAATGAACCAGGGATGTTTCATTTAAAAAAGACACCAGTCTCCTTAGTACGAGCATGCTCTGTGTAGAAGTATAATTAATATAATTAGTACTGCCCATGCTAAGTGCACAGCAGTTGAATGATGAGCCCATCAGTGAGTCAAGGGATAAGGTGAAATCCTATCAGTACTCCTCTGCCCTATTCGCTGACAGCTTGCAGCACAGAATTGCAGATAATTGATGATGTCTCTGTCCCCAGGGAAATAAAAGTCCCCTCACTCAGCTCTTCTTTCAGTCTGGAAATGGGGAAACAGCTGAGCCTGAGCTAATGAGTGGGGAAGGGACAATCACTTCCACAGGGCTGCCCTCTCTTCATCACCCTCAGCACAGTCCTCTACCTCCCACAGTGCCAAAATATTTGATAAATAGTGTTTGATTCAAGCTAAGAGGGGAAATTCAGGCTGAAACATATTTGCTAAATCTAGTCTAACTTTTGCACAGCCTTTTTTTCTTTGCTTCTTCCCCATGACTAGTTTGGAGATGGTATTTTTTGCTCACCACATGACAAGGGGAAGTCGGTTTTGCTAGACATGTGCTAACAACCATGTAAAGCTGCAATATACAGTGGCGATGGTGCTCTTGATTCCTCCTGTTCTCTCCTTGTAGCAGCTACAGTTATGGCTCCAGGTCTAGAATTTGCTGTAAGGTGTAAGGGAGCTGTCTGCAGCTGAGGCTTCAAGGACACTTTGGGATTATGTATAATCGCTGATTAAATGGGAAAGTGGGATAGGACTGAGTGACTGAAAGCATCCCTGCTCATCCTTTCTTCCTGTATTATTTTCTTGTGTGACACATGGTTCAAAGTCCGTTCTGGATCTAAGGAGAGGTAATCCCTGCAGTGAGATGGTTTGTATGTTGATCTATGATGGCCTGCAGGCTGCCTGTTAAAAATCAAGTGATAAT